CAGAAAAAAGTTAAATACCTGTTAAGTTTTCGAAGAAATTATGCGACACACATGCACCGGAAATAGTGAAGATGTTCAAATTTTCGAATCGAATTCCGGAATACGGTATCCCGGAAAGACGTACAGCGTTATCACGTACTATTTTTTTAACAATATTTTTTTTATTTCAACCACCTTTTGTGATAGCAGTTTTACATAAAATATATATCAATAAAACATTTCTTTTGTCGATAACCACCAATTTTAAAATGTACCCCTAAATATATACATTGTATATGAAAATAATATCTTTTACCTATGTCGTTGTTATATTTTGACATATTATGTATTAATTCAATAAATATCAGGTTGCATGTCATTATATCAGTTATATCAATTTTATAAGTCAATTATCACCTCATCAAGTATTTGTTTAATTTGTTGTTTATGTGATAGAATATATGGAAAAGAAACCTAAAAGAATGGACCTGTTTAAGTTTAATCAATTTTTCACCTGTACGTTATATGCAACATTATTAAGAAATTATTGAATTACAAAATAATAACAAATCCAACTCCTGTGTGATTGAGAATATGTTGATGTCATTTTAACTGGTTTAATTACTGTGAAGGCAGAATAGTGTATTTGTAGTCAAACAAGAGGCCCATAGGGCCTGTATTGCTCATTTGGATATTTAAGCAACCATGGTAAAATATTGTCTTCATCATAATAGATCCATTCTTCTGTAAAAGTGAAAACCTTTCATCTTTTAGGAAGGAGAAAGATTTCAAAGATTTATGAAAATTTCCCCTGCTGGTCACCACCCCTCTCAGGTTCTGTCCCAGAGGGATGCCACAATCACCGTTTATGCAACATTGCACCACCAATTTGGATGGATGCTCTAAATCATATTTAGTTTGAATCCGTACGGGAGAAGGATTTTACAGATTTATCCCTATTCCCCTATTAGGGCTTGCCCCTTTCTCCCTAGGAGGGGCATCCCTTCCATTTATACAAATTTAAGTCCCCTTGCTCCAAGGATGCTCTACACCAAATTTGGTTAAATCTGCATTAATACCAAAGGAAAAAGATTGAAACATTTATGTCTATTCCTCATATTGGACCCTGCCCCTCTGCTCTCATGGGGAGAGGGGATAGGGCCCGCCACACCCTCTGTTTATATGAAACTGATTTCACATGGTATAAGGATGCTCCTGACCAAATTTAATTAAAATTCCTCCATTTCATATTTCATATGGAAGAAGAAGGATTGTAAAGATGCATTCCTCTTTACTTTACTGGGCCATGCCATTTGCTCACCTGGATAATAAAGCAATCATGGGAAAATATTCTTATTACATAAAATCCCTCCAATGGTACTGAAGAAGAAGGATTTTAAAGATTTAGATTACCCTTTGCAGTCCCGCCCCTCTGCACCCAAAGGGGCCACACCCACCCTTAACACAAAATTAAAGCCTTTCCCAAGGATGCTCCAGGCCAAATTTGGATGAAATCCCTCCAATGGTACAGAAGGAAAAGAGTTTTAAAGATGTAAACCTCAAACTTCCCTATTGGGCCCCTTCTCCTTTGCCCCCAGGCGGGCCACACCCACTGTTTATACATAATTAAGTGCCCTTGGCCTAAGGATGCTCCAGACCAAATTAAGTCAAAATAAACTAGGCTGTTCAGGACTAGTAGCATTTTATTTTTATGGTTAGAAGTCCCTCAATTTGAAGGATTTTAAATATTTATCTCTATTTCCTCTATCAGGCTCCATATCCCTCTGCCCCAAAGTGGGGAATGGGGTGGGGTGGGCCCCTCACATCCCCCGTTCATACAAAAATGATACCACTTTGGACAAGGATGCTTTAGACTGGTTAAAATCCCACCATTCTTACAGCAGTAGAAGGATTTCAAAAACCTCAAGGATAATTTAGTCAAAATGCAATGTACCATTTACAACAAGTAGTGTTTTAAAGGGAAAAGTTGAAGGACAGATGTACGACAGATGCTGGGCCACAGAATTAGCTCACAGGTCATTAGAACTTTAAGACCTTAATTATCAGATAGTGTCATCAAACTGGTTGGTCCTTACTTCTGCATCTTAAATTTTGAGAGTGATTGAAAACTTAAGATGGCCACCAGACAGCCATGTTGGATTTTGACAGTTTCAAGTTTGTTGTCCCTACTATCCAAATATTCTATATTGGTTCCCCTTGGTCTTAATTTGAAGTTAAAATGGACGGATTGGTCAACACTCCGGCCTTCCACGCAGGCAGCCGGGGTTCGATCCCGAAAGTCGTCGTATGCATGGATATTCAGAGAAAGTGTTTTTCTCCTGCCAACACAACTCCGACAACCCAGGTGGAGCATAAATTGGTCTGGTGTGGATGTTGCAGTATTTGTGCTGTAGCATTCAAGTGAGGTGGCACTATAAATGATGCCGTTGGAAGCACGGTCCCACTACATAACAGAACACATCACATCTCCAGCACACACACAGGCATACAAAGATAGGGAGATATTAGCCAGGTGTCATAGGACTAATAGTTAGCACCCGATAAGGCGGCTCCTGCGATTTCCTCAAAATTGTATTAATTAGTGTATATACTAATTGAATTAATTGCATATCTATGTACTGTAAAGCGCTTTAGAGTGGCTGATGTTAGCTAGATAGGGCGCTATATCAAATGTTGCATATTATTATATTGTATATTATATTATAAAGACAATTTCTAAAACTGTTTCTCTTTTTTAAAGACAAAGAACCACATAGATTATGATTTCTAGTTTTATTACATTGTATTGTAAATTACAAAATATCAAAAAGAAATTAGCAAAGACTGACATCTTTTACCATCTCGCATACAAATGTACAATATTAAAATTCGAACTTTGACACAAGGCCTTAGATGTAGAATTACCTGTTTGATTCCTCCTGGAAATATCATGTAAATAAGACTCAAGATGGCAGATTCAATGGTTGACATTTGACCTTTAACAATGACCTCTGAAGACGCCTTGCTATGCATGAAGTGTGTGACAATCATTCCATTGTGATAGATATAAATATTAATTGCGAAAGTTGTGAAAGTCAAATCTATCTTGGTATTGCTATAATGTCATTTTCTCAACCAATTTTGCACAATAAAGCATACCCAACAAGAGTACCACGGGGCGGAACAATATACGCCCGTCAAATGCCATATAGTGTATATATACTTTCTTACATTGAAATAAGATCTTCATCATTCTAAGAGTGGTTAGCTGAAATGTTATAAAAAATGTAGGACGAAATCTCCAGAAAAAAAATCAAATACTGAAATGAACAAAGGGCAATAACTTTTGCAAAAATTGTCAAATCTAAATTCTTTTCAAGGAAACACAACAACATATCATGATTATGTAACCTACTAAGTTCCAAAGAAATCCGTCAAAAAATGTAGGAGGAGATCTCCGGACAAAAAAACAAATACTGAAATGAACAAAGGGCAATAACTTTTGGAAAAATTGTCGAATCAAAATTCTTTCAATGGTGACACAACTTCATATCATGATTATAATGTATACCAAGTTTCAAAGAGATCGGTTGAAAGATGTAGGAGGAGATTGCCAGACAAACAAAAGTTTTCGCCGGACGGACAACCCCATACCATAATACTTCCGTTAAATTTGACGGGCGTATAAAAACACATTTGACTTTTCTCCCCCTCTTAGCCATACGCATAGTTGTTTTGGGCTTCCTTTTACCTTTGACCTTGAATACAATATAATGCATTCCCACTGTGGGTGTTGCAAGTATTATCAAGTTTCATCACGATATCTTAAACAGTTATGAAATCACAGCAAAGCCTAAAATCAAGTAACATATATTTCACCTATTTTATATATTTTATGGTTTAAAAGTTATGGCCTAGACAAATTTTTGATAGAAATATTTTGCATTTTGTTTTACTTTTGACCTTGAGGTAAGGTCATGGTGACCTATCTATAGTACATTGCACATCTTTTGTTGATAATGCATGTATTTCATCAAGATATCTTTAACAGTACAAAAATTTGCTTATAGTTAAGTTAAATCAGCACGAATAAAATATTTCATTTATATAGCATTTAACTCATTCACCCCTAGAATTTCATAATGAGCTATTCCAACCTTTGAATTGGGAGAGTTCAAATATGTCTTCAGGGGTGAATAAGTTAGTAGACTATAGCAGATGTATAGAACTCCTTATCAGTACATTTACTATTATATAGCATTATCACTTTATAACCCTACCATAGTCAGATGGCAGTCATATAGGATATGAGTGCCATATGAGCTGATCGTTGAAATCATCATTCTGATGTCATAATTGTTACTTAATTTGGATACCACTGAACAGATGGCTGTTATATTCATTAGTTAAGCCTATACAATAAATACATTATTTGAACTAATTTAAATGCTAGATAATTATAAATGTAAATGAATTTTCTATGAGATAAAGAGATTCCAAAAATGGAAGATATAAGTATGGAACATCTTTCAGTTGGCATTCATAGGCAAACTAAAAGCAGATACTACTAATCTGTGATCACATTAAATGCTTTTTATTAATATATGTGATTATCTCCCTTTACTTGTAATATAATATGTTATTGTTATTTTTACATATGTTTGTCGCAATAATAGCTCTCAAGAGCTAATGCTCCTTGTTTACCTGTATGCGACGTTAAATAAAGTTTCTTGTATCTTGTAGTGCAATGCTTAAATGAATAGTCAAAACTGTTTCCCTTATCTTCAAATAAATTGATGTGGTTAGCATATAACAGCATACATCGCAGTGGGTATATTGTCTGCACATAGTCCAAACATACAACACACAACCGTTCAATTTAACAATCGTTTCCCCTGTTGTTCAATTGCAATTGCAAAATAATGTACAATTTTGTAAATAAATCAATTTTATTGGTTGTGTAAAAAAGAACCGGAGTACCTGAAGAAAACCCATGTGGTCGGTCAGGTGAACCCATACCTTTCCACGTCCGATTGGGGAATCAAACCCTGGCCGCCTTGTTGAAAGGCAAGCGCACTATCCACTGTGCCACTCGATCACCCTAATAGACATATTACATAAGGCTGAGTGTCAATTCACTTATCAAAACTCTTGATATGAAAAAAACTATTAAATTCAACAGATAAATACACAATAACACATATTGACATACTTAATAACTGTCCATAAAAAAAATCCCACACAAAAATAACTACACAATGTGGTGAACAAAACAACAGCATTCATTAATCGATATCAAAACAGAACTTTCCATCTAACTAATTTATCACGGGTGTCGGTCAGGGTGAAGCACTATCACACGACTGAAGGAATGAAAATTACAGCATTATCATCGGAAACAACTGGTAAAAGGGAAAATGTGCTCTGGCCCGCTTCATGACTACTTCAGGGAGAAGCTAAACAACCAGTGTACCATTGTCGTTCGTTATAACACTGCGGCTGTTTATATACTGTAGAGGATCCGCACTTAACAGTTATTTATTGTTACTGTGAAAAGAGGAACCTCTTTAGTCATGAATTCATGTGGGGTTTTTTCAGAGGACCTAGCTCCTCAAGGACTTGATGGCCTCCGTACCTCTCCAGTAATCTTGTAATTTGGGATAATTCAGTGTCTCTCTGTGCAAAGTCTTGACAGTTTTAACTCCAATAAATGAAGAAACATTTCCAATGATTCTTGCTTTTTCCTTTTTTTTTGAATCGTATAATCAACATTTTAGTCTTCAGAACAGATGTTACATGTACAATATATGATGTATAATAATGTGATACATAACAACAGAGAATTCACCACTAAAATGTATACAAGATCACCTAACTGTACAGAAACATTTAAAAGTATCTCACGCCGATACAAAGTTACAAAAATGACAACATCTCACAAACGTACGACAACAAATTACAACACGTTAAGTTTAGACACATTGAAGGAATGTGTTAAATTGTAAGCATGGAATATACATTGAAAATATTTCAGTAAATTGAATACTGACTATAACAACCACAAGAACAAAATATTAGTAAACCTGAAGCTGTGTATAAGGTAGGGTTTTCTAACCATTGCTGGTATTGTGTCACGTACAATACAAAGTGTACGTACATCACAAAGTAGTGTTTGGGCTCACTATCCCAAAAGAGGCTATTTCATCTACCCTGGTTTTTACATCATATCGTTATTTGCATTTAAAATTTCAAATAATATCAACTAACTGCACTGGTTATCAACATAAAAATGTTAATACATGATCAAGCACAGATCATGAGAAAAACACTGGTAGTTACCAGAAGAATCAGGAGTCACAACCTGAAAATTGTATGACTTCCTCCCATTACATATAGATAGTGGTTTTGGGGGCTTCTGTCATAATAAATTGTCTGCCCAGTTTTACTGATTCGGTCCAAGTCCATAAGATGACACTTTTCATTAGGTCACAATTCATACTGGGAAAAAACTTGCCAAAAGAACATTTTTCACACAGGATACATACAAGAAATTAATTTGTAGCTGTGCAGTCTGCTAGTTTAAGTTACTGTCGACTACGACCTTCACCAACACCGTGCATGGGCACAGGTGTTAGCAAAGTGTGGCCATGCATGTGACTGTGCAGTCTGCTGATTTTACTGTCAAACACAGCCTTCATTGGAAACCCTCGCTGGAGGCCTTGATGTTATGTCAGTAAGCATAGTGTGTGGCCATGGGGTCCCCCACCTTTCTGTCTATGAAAGCCTGAACCTGAACTCTCACTTTGGGCCTTGGTGTGTGTGAGTAGACACAGTGTGTGGCTGTGTAATGCCAAAGTCTTACTTTCTACCTTCACCCAAACTGTCATATGGCTGTGTAGTCCTCAGTCTTACTGTCTATGAAAACCTTCACCCAAACAGTCATGTGGCTGTGTGGTCCCCAGTCTTACTGTCTATGAAAACCTTCACCCAAACTGTCATGTGGCTGTGTAGTCCCCAAGTCTTACTATCTATGAAAACCTTCACCCAAACTGTCATGTGGCTGTGTAGTCCCCAGTGTTACTGTCTGTGAAAGCCTTCACCTAAACCCTCATGTGGCTGTGTAGTCCCCCAGTCTTACTGTCTATGAAAACCTTCAACCAAACTGTCATGTGGCTGTGTAGTCCCCAGTCTTACTGTCTATGAAAGCCTTCACCCAAACCCTCATGTGGCTGTGTAGTCCCCAGTCTTACTGTCTATGAAAGCTTTCACCTAAACCTTTATGTGTAGTCTCCAGTCTTACTGTCTATGAAAGCCTTCACCCAAACTGTCATGTGGCTGTGTAGTCCCCAAGTCTTACTGTCTATGAAAACCTTCATCTAAACCCTCTTGTGGCTGTGTAGTCCCCCAGTCTTACTGTCTGTGAAAGCCTTCACCCAAACCCTCATGTGGCTGTGTAGTCCCCCAGTCTTACTGTCTATGAAAGCCTTCACCAAAACCCTCATGTGGCTGTGTAGTCCCCAAGTCTTACTGTCTATGAAAACCTTCATCTAAACCCTAATGTGGCTGTGTAGTCCCCCAGTCTTACTGTCTGTGAAAGCCTTCACCAAAACCCTCATGTGGCTGTGTAGTCCCCAAGTCTTACTGTCTATGAAAGCCTTCAACCAAACTGTCATGTGGCTGTGTAGTCCCCAGTCTTACTGTCTATGAAAACCTTCATCTAAACCCTCATGTGGCTGTGTAGTCCCCAGTCTTACTGTCTATGAAAGCATTCACCCAAACTGTCATGTGGCTGTGTAGTCCCCCAGTCTTACTGTCTATGAAAGCATTCACCCAAACCCCTCATGTAGCTGTGTTGTCCCCCAGTCATACTGTCTATGACAGCCTTCACCCAAACCTTCACTTTGGGCCTTGGTGCTCTGTTAGTAAACAGAGTGTATGGCCATGCAGTTCCCCAGTCTTACTGCCTGTGAAAACCTTCACCCAAACCCCTTATGTAGCTGTGTTGTCCCCCAGTCTTACTGACTGTGACAGCCTTCACCCAAACCTTCACTTTGGGCCTTGGTGCTCTGTTAGTAAACAGAGTGTATGGCCATGCAGTCCCCCAGTCTTATTGTTTATGACAGCCTTCACCCAAACCTTCACTGTGGGCCCTGTGCTAGACACAGACACCAGCAGAGATGTGTCAGTGACTATGAATAATATGTCATCTACACCTTCTTGTACTACTCTCACCTCATAATGTAAACTTCTAAAATCTAAATTGTCTAAATTCTGGGGTGATGCCCACTGTATTTTTAACACTACCAATCCTTTTTTCACATTACCCAATTGTTTAACATTTTTGTCTGTGACATTAGTATTGGGGTTGAGTTTATCACACCGAACCTTTGAAACTTTGGCTGGGAACATTTGTTGGTGGTCACTTGTGTACGGTTTGTTCATGGCTGCTTTGATAAGTCTGGTGATGGCAGGAATATCTACCTCTGTGTCCTGGTATATGTGGTACAACCAAGAAGGATCACTACAACATAGATGATCCTGCACTTCAGTCTCAGCCATTATAGCTGCCTGGTCCTGTGGCGGTAGATGACCGATTCCCCCTATGTCTGCCGGCCAGTCAGGATGGCCTATAGATTTTGTTTTGTCCAGGTTCTGCCAAGCTGTGTAGACTAGATTCATCCCTGGTAGCTCAGCTAGAGTCCTGAAGGGGGGATACTTTTTGGGAGAGACTGCATATGGGAACAACTCAATAACAAACGCTCCAGGCCTGAGAAAGGCAGCCAGTGACATCAATGATCCATGCATACCAACTATACCTCGGGAAAATCTTACATAGTGCATGATGTCTTTTAAACTATGGGTTTCCAAACTAAGCGTGAACACTTTCAAATTTGTCTCTGCTGAAACTGAGAGCATCAGTTCCATTTCATTGACAATGCGTCGATTGTCTTTTCTGGAGAATAAAACAAAATAATCACCAGGTGTCAGCATCATGTTAGGAGGCTTTTGCATATCGAGTTGATTAACAATAAAATTTACTGTGTTGTGTATAAGAAATCCAGATGCTTCTGTGTCTTTCACAGGTGCCTGCGACTGGATGTAGCCATATTGATACCACACGGGTGCAGTTGATAATCCCGCATAAGCATCCTCAAAACAGACCAACTGTTCCTCACTTAAATCGTTAATATAAATGGGAGATTTGGTAGTGAAACTAGAATACAAGTCGGCAAAGTCCCCACGATCCCATCCTTCCATAAAGACTATCTGGACATCATACTGATCCAGAGAGTTTTGTCCGGTAATAAAATTCAGCGTGAAGTGTAACGGGAAGATGTCATCGTGTAGAACATGCATGATATTGTCAGGTTTGAACCTGCTGAAGATCACACTTTGCCCTTTGACCCACTTTACCCTAGAATGATCAAACGCTGAAGACTTTAAATCTATCAGGTTTGGAGTATAACCATTATATTCGTACACAGTAGAGAGACGTAGCATCGGCTTGCTATCATTACCGAGCTGTGACCTATCCAACACACTCCTATCACTGTGGTAAAACAGAAACGCCTCATTCAAAGGACTGTAACATAGGTTCTGGAAATGACATATTTTGTTCATCTCCGAATTGCCATGGCACCAAACTGAGGTTTCTATATGTGATGTATCAGCCTCTTCCTTTGATTTCTTGCTTTCATGTGCTTTGCCAGTTACTGCTACATGTTCACTTCCATCAATATCTGTCTGTGAGGTCGTGCTGATGGTGGCTCCTTCAGTTAGAGATTTACTGCTCAAAGTTAATACACTTGAAGATTCTGCACCCGCAGCTTTGGTTTTTTCATATTCTTCAAAATATCTTCCACTCTGAGCTTCACTACTGTAACTTGCCTGGCTACTTTGAATAAAGTCTGTTCCAAAATTCTGGTCTGAATGACTACTAAAGTCTGTTCCTGAAAATTTATTTTGTTGTGAAGACGCCCCTTTACCATCATACTTTGTTGCCCCCAAATTGTCAATATCCTGGTTACTGTCAGATTCCTGAAAATCAGACTGACTTGTTGCAATGTAGTTAAAATCTTTGACTTTGTCATTAACCCCCACATTGTCCCCTGGGTAGGGGAAGTGGGGAGGAGGTTTGCTCGGAGGTTGGGAGAGGAAGGGGTGGGGGTAGCAGTCCATTTGTAGGTCTTCCACGTGTGACCTCAGGTCCATATATTTCTTGACCACTACAGCCATGACAGACAGCATGACTGCATGGGTGATGAAATGGAGGTTTGTCATTCTTTGTTTTCAGATACTAGAGCTTTGGTCCAAATTAAAAACGACTTTACATGTCAAATCTGAAATAAAAAGAAAACAGAATCATTATACATTTAAAGTTGAACAATAAATTTATACAACAAATTGCTTTAAGGAATTTTTGTACCACTGCCAAAAGCTGTTACTATGCATTGAAAACTTTTTTCTTTAGCAACACTTATAACAGCCTTGATGAATCATTCCTAAAAAAGAAAACAGAGGAAATAAACAAAATATAATCAGCAACAGGGTTCTGAGTGTAAGATTCAGTGGGGCTACAACAGGATTATACTGTTGCTTTGTCATCAGAAGTGTCCTCGACCAACTGTGCTACATCAAGGCTACATTCAGGTATCCTGGTTGAAACGGTACGTGTGGCGCAGAAATATTCCACGATAAACGAACGCACTTGGACCATTCTATAAGCAGAGCTAAAAATGCAGTTTCAGAGAATAGAAAATAATGTATCAAGAATATTATGCCATTTTTTCAAACGTCCACTGAATTACAAAAGGTATCTTAAAAACTACATGTGGCTTGACATTGTTTTAGAAAGAAATAACGCAAACTAGCAAATATTCAGCAGTTAAGTTTCGGTCAGGTTTGTCTGGACCCCTCAATCTAAACATGCCAAATTTTCCTGAGGTCAGCCTCGGTTCAAATCTGTGCCTGTTGTTTTCTTTACATGTTCAACTGGTTCAATCGGTTACGCGAATGTACCCTTAATCTGAAATAAAATTAAGGGGAGGTTACTGTATATATGAAAAAACACAGTGCAGTTGGACAGGGGTCCTAATAATATACATTTGACACAGGTTATTTTCAGGTTTTGCAATAAGGTGCACTACATGGTTATAATAAAAAAAAATCTGCTTGAATAAATCATGACCATGACATCAACTGTGATGGTCGATGATCCGCGATCACCATTATGGCATTATTTAAATCAGGACTAGACAATAAGGGTAGCTTGGTAGTGTGAGACCTGTGAAATCTCCAGTTGGACAGGTGCTTCTAAAAAACTGCTAAACCAAATGACAACTAGTCAAAATCTAACATTATTTTTCATGTTGAATATTATTGGGTTAGTGGAATTTGCATGTTGACTAGTAATTTTGGACACCACTAGCCAGAATGAATAGTGTTTCTTTTTTAAATTATTTTTTTGCTTTACACATTATATGTTACCAACAACACCCCTATATTCCCACCACCCCATCCCCCAGTCCTCCAACCTCCACGCACCAAAGCAGCAGCCACTTCGGTTGCTGAATAACTCATCATGATATTATGTGCGTACATGTGATGTTTGGAGGTCCATTATATACTTCAATACTGAATTTCAAATGCCACTAATAAATACTTACAATTAAAGATATTTTCTGATAACATCTAATATCAATCACATGCGTCATCATCACCAAAAATGTGTACCTACATGTTACTCACAACCGGACATGATTAGAGAACAGTATACAGATGTGTCCCAAGAAGCTGGATCGGCTTATTTTGACGTCGACACTACATGAAAACTATATGAAAACAATATAACGTTACGTTACAGCACCTTTCGGTGATTTATATGCCAAAATGTCCTTTCGGTATCAGTTTCATCATTGGAGTATGAATAAAATTGGCCTAACTGCACAATTCTCACCATAAAAACACGAATTTTCGCATGTTTGGATTAAAACTAGAGTTCGATGCGTCTGTCTGCATTTGTAGGTCAATGCGCATGTCTACCAAAGTGAAAGTAAAAGCCGGTCAGAACAATTAAATAATAAAAATCTATTATAATAAAAAACAACAATGCCATTTTATCATCATTTAGATAAGATATTTTTGTAATGGCATTTATTAAATAAGAATTTGAGTTTGTTTATTCTAAATTATGCTAATACTAGTACTAATTGATAACCGCTCCCATTGTTCCGGATAAGGGCGTTTTCATTTTTATGTTGTTTTAGACGAGCTCTCCTGTTTAGAAGATAGTAATTTCACACGAAGGAATTTTGAAGTTGATTGTAATGTTTCAAAACCACAGTTATTGAAGGATTAAGTGATAATGAGTCGAACAGGTGCCGAAATGAGGGCAAGGTAAATATTTTATCGTCACATTGTGACTGTTAGAATCAAGATATTACCGGATTCAACAAAGGTTTTCGTTTTTGGTTGGATATTTTATGAGGCATTCGTGACTTGACTTGTTCATTTTGACATTTTGCGCGGTATTATTTCAATGATTTCGGCTAAATTTGCATAGTTATAATAGTCATAGACATCAATGTAATTAACTCCTTTCCGCTATACCATTGAATGTGCTGGAGGATATTTTTGTGTTCTGTTTTGCTAAGGGACATTGTTTCCGACAGCATCTTACATGCACAGATATATACATACCACTTGAATATCGCAGCACAAACACTCATACCATCCTCAAAATAGTAACATGCCACTTAAATATCTCAGCACAGACACTCATATCCATCCTCAAAATTCCATAGGTTACACTATTTTACTATTGTCTGCAACCCCCCCNATATAGTAAAACATAGTATCATGAACTTGACTTTAAAACATGTTTTTTTTGTTTGTATCTGTATGTGTTACTTTAAAAATCGCTTCATACTACTATGAATTGTAAGTGACAGTCTATATCATCATCTGTTGTTTTGAATTATTGTTGTAATAACTTGTGCCAAATCCTATTTTCCAATTTCTTTTATTTCAAAAGTATTTTATTGACAATACATATGTAATACAAACATATAAGTTAACATTAAAGAAGATATTAGAACAGTATTGACAAAAGAATAAGACAACAGGCTTTGCATATAACAGTCTTCTAATTCCGGTAGCTATGTACAATGCTTAAATATATAAAATGTTGTGTTTCGTTTTCCTCTCACACTCATGCACACCCACACCAGCTTATGTCTAATACTCGTTATTTAAGGGATAAAACTTGCCTGAATAACAATAATAATAACAATACATGAATATTCATTTGGAATTTATCTAGGACGTATAAGTAACGAAACGATTTGATGATTTGATATAAGAGGCAACATGTAGAAGAATAGTTTTATTTAATTGGTCATTACTAATACCATATACTAAACAGTGCAGATTTAAATATCATAATAGATTATAAATAGTGGTAATATGATGCCTGATATTAGAATACAGAGGACATTGAAAGAAAAATGTATTAGATCTTCCCTCTGTACACCACATACACAGGAAGCATCATAAATCAGATGGTCTTGTAACTTATCACAGTTAAGATCACTTTTAAAATTTCTCAGCTGACATAAAATTATGTTAAGTTTCCTCGGAACACAGCTAGTAAAAGTTTCTGAGACGGATGTATCAAAGTTTTTTTTAAGTTTCTTTTTAAAAGATGAAATTGAGATGGAGTCTCATACAGTGCTATCAAGTGCATTCCATTTTACCATTGTAGAAGGGCAGAAGCTATTCATATAAGTAGTAGTTCTTCAATTCTGGTTAATGAAATATGTTTAAAGTCACAAAGTAAAACTGACAAATCACGAGTCTGATACATCTACCTGCCTTCAGGTTTACAGAGGAATGAAACAAGGCTTCAAAGCCAGTCAAAATTACCATCACACTGCCCTGTGATAATTTTGATAAGCATCAGACGATCAAACTATGTAATCCAGAAGGTGGTGTATACAAAGCCTTCAAATCCATCATGACATATTCCTTGGGGTGCAGAGAGTGTAACACTTAAGTTTAGGGATGTATAATATCAAACCAGACTCTATTACACTCCATTCCAGGTCAGTAGAATGAGCAATAAAATTAAAGGTTAAATATCCATTTTGCTTAAGGATCAATACCCTTTGTCAACAGTTGGTTCATTGCAGGCGGCACCGTTGTAAGCGTCTAGGTGCTTCTTAATTCTGTCCACTTCACTTCCGGTTGCATTAGGAGACATTGAAGAATACTAGTGAGAATGATATACAGGTGCAGTGGGTGATAATAAAGGTTGCATAATAGTTTCATATAAGATCAGGGTATTCAATTATAAAAAAAGACCGACAGGCCTGTAAAGATCACAAGTCTAAAAAAAACCAGAGAGTTTATTCTACTATTTAGTATAAATACACACATTGTGGTTAATTTGTTACAGACCTGTCAATGAGCTGTACTTGGAAGTACAGTTGGCCTTATATATAAACATCAGTTTGATCAGAATCCTAACAACATGCTACCATGACCTATTGCACAACAGCGCTCTTCATTATTTTAAGCAGAACTGTGCCCCTATAGTACTGTCCCTTGAGGTACATCATTGATCAATAGTGTCTCTTCTGATGATTATTTCCATGGTAATATGTTGAGTCCTTACAACCTACATGTAGCTGTGTACTGTGAAGGTTGAACCTTGATCTTGAGTTCAGTCATAGCTAGACAAAGGGACCGTGGCCAGTCAGTCTTGAAACGTTGCGACACTTTTAATACCTACATTGTTTGTGTGGAAAGTAAAACTTTGATATCGCGTATTTCCAAACTGATGAATCTTATTGAAGATGATAAAAACACTGGCTTATTTGAACCACCTTGGTCAACATTCTGGCCTCCTTGTGGCAGAGAGCTCAAGCTGATAGTTGAATTTTGCAGCTACCTCTAGCCATGAAACCATGCTGGCAGTCAGCAAGGATCCTGTGCATTTCTAAATGGATCTTAAAATAGATGTGCAATGATGCAGAAGTTATATGATCATGATTTTAAAACCATAAAAACAGTTTCTCATTTTATTTTAGTGATTTAAATTATAGAACAAAATGTACAATTTTCATTTATTTTGCTTTTCAGTGAAACTCAGTCTAAATTTATACAGGATCGAGTGTCCCTGGTGGAGAAGCATTTTGGACAGCTATGCGACACCATGTCTTCTATAACAAGGAAAACAGCAAAACTGAGAGATAAAGGTATATATACAGTAGACAGAAACTATTTAACAGTAGCTTATAGACTGAACGCAGCACTAGCAGACATCCAAATACTGGAAAGCATTTAAAACTGCAGGACTTGCAAACCTAGGTATTGTAGACAAATAACGAAGATCCTGTTGATATAAAAGTTTCCTTATGCTGTATTATTGATCATCTTTCGTGAATAATGTGTTATTTTGAAAAGGATTTGATGCTTTACATTATCTTAATCTTAATTAGTTTGCAGTAGTAAAACTGAACTATTTACCAGTGTGTATAACAAGCCAAAATAACAACCTATTGCAAGTATGGAGGATTAGAAATCTATATTAGCATATGTTATGCCTTACACTGTCCATTCATCAGCTCTTTAAGTTACAAAAAATAATCTTCCTAATTTTTGCTTTTCCTGTGATTTATTTCTAGGAGACCAGTTGGCTAAGGATGTAACAACCTACTCGGAGGCAAATTCTCATAACCCATCTACGCTGAGATGTCTCACAGAGTTTGCATCAAACTTATCAGCCATACAGGATTATAGACAGGCAGAAGTATGTGTTACAGTGATATCAGCTATGGCATTTTTAGGACAAATACGGAAAGTACACATACAACCTGACAAAAAGATTAAAAAAGATGAACCAATAAATATTTCAATACAGTTTTCATAGGTTAATTGTTGTTTTGCCTATTTTTTTGTAAATAGGTAAACCCTTGCACCACTGTAGACCATAATAGACTCATCCAGATCAATGTATGGTAGAGTCTACTAAAGTTGCATAGGGGTGAAAGGGTTAAAAAACAAACAAAAAACATATTTTCCCATTTTTGGGACATATTTCTTAAAATCAACACAGAACAACTAAGCCATGTGTAGAAGCATAGATGCATGTATTATTTTCAAATAATGTAAATTATAATATATATTCAATACATATTATGTTTTACATTATACATTATAGCTAAACAACCTAAACTTAACCTAAACTTGTCCTTACCTAAACAACCTTAACTTGTTCACACTGTTGGAATTACTTCTTTGCCCCATATTCAATATATATATATGTATTATGTTTTATTTTCCAGGTTACAAGACTTGACGCCAAAGTTGTACAACCTTTAAGTAACTATGGAATTAAGTGCAAACAAGCAAAAAACGACCTCAAGTCAGCATTTAATGCTCAGGACAAAGAAACAAAACAGAAAAGGAGGCTAGACATGCTGCGACAGAAGAATCCGGGGAACCAATCTCAGATCTCGCAGGCCGAGACCGAGCTACAGAAGGCTAGTGTAGAGGCTTCACGAACATCAAAAAACCTTCATCAACAGGTTGACAAGTTTGAGCTAGAAAAGCTTAAAGATGTGAAGGTGTGTTTATGTTGCACTGATGTATTTTATTAAGTCTGCAGGTGAATTGCATTCTAATGAAAAGTAATGAAATATTTGTTTAACCGTACATGTTGTGTGTGGATGTTCATCAAATATTTGCCCGTGCAGACTTCTGGGATAAGGTAAAAGCTAGAATGAATTGTATGTGACTTACGAGTCTATTAAGGTCAATGTTACTATACAATCAAGGTTTCATGCAAGACACTATATTTTTCTGGCATGTTTGATATATAAAAAAAAATTATACCAATATTAAATGTAGTTGTTCACCAGAAAAACATCATTCTTTTCTAGAAAATGTTGTGTGACTTTGTGAACATCGAAATGATGTTCCATGCCAAGGCACTGGAGATGTACACACAATGCTTCCAGAACCTCACCTCTGTTGATGTGGAGGAGGACATAGAGGTAATTGTACATAGGATTAAGGTCGCCTTCGAGCTAGGGGGAATTTCCCTTTAGCTCAGTGGTAGAGCGTCCGACAAGGAACCTGGAGATCGAGGGTTCAATCCCCGGTGGAAGCACATTATTCTCTTTCCTGTTACAATTATATTTTTTGTGAAGTATCAGATATATATAGCATGTATCAAAACTCAAGGGTGCAACCCACTTTGGAGAACCCAACATGGGGAAATGGAGGTAAATATTGGATACTCGTTAGATATAGGTCAAAATTTTAAAACATCCAGTATTTGAAGTATTCATTGGCAAATGTGATTCAGTATGGTATAAATGAAGGCCTCTTCTATAAAAAAATTATAAAAAATTGATATTTTTCAAAATTTCATTTTGTCTTAGAAATACCCAGGTATTAAAATCATTACAGCATTAAATCATATTTTAGACAAGGTGAGTGATACATTATACAGGCCCATCAGGGCCTCTTGAATAGGGATGATTTCATTATACCTTTGTGTAATTGACTTTTATCAAAATTACTTATTTGCAGGAAAATAATGATGTACAAAGAATTTAATGCAACAGTGGAGAAAAGAGTAATGAATGTTTCTCTGAAATTTAACAGGAATTTCGCTCCAAGCTCACCCCACCTAACTCTGCAGCCAGGATGAATATGGTCAGATCCTCCTCCTATTCCTCTCTCAACTCCAACACAAACTCCAAACAGTCAACACCCTCCAAGATGAACCGACAGCAGTCAGCCCCTACAAGTTCTCAATCCACGCCCACCAAACCCCCCGCAGGAACACAGTCTCGAACACGAATACCGGTACGTACCACTCCTGCTAACAAGGATATACTGTTTAGTGCTGTACAATCCCACTATCCTGATAACCAGGACAACTAGATTTCATGATGGGCTAGTATAAACCTTTTCAATATTAACTATGAAAATATAGGTTGAGCTAAAAACATTTTCGATATTACCATGCAGGCTCAAGTATTCTAAATATGAAATTCCCCATGATGATGATAAATGATGACACTGTTGTCACCCCAAGGTCAATGTCACAGGTATTAATTAATTAGGTCATTGGGGATGTTATTTTTTATGAACAGAACTACAAATATATTTTAACAAGTCATTTTTCAACATTTAGGGGATTTAAGATAAGTTCTCTCCACATTAAAAAGATAATTTTGATACAAATTGATCTTTAAGGGTCTTTATCTCTACTGTAAATGTCATTCATGATCATTTATAGGTTAAGGTAAATGTTTTCAAAATGTGCTGTGAATATAGTGTCATCAGTGTAATACTCAACTTATCCTGTTGATTAGGTAATGGATCTCGACGATGATGACGACGACGACGACGACGATGATGATGATGATGATGATGACGAATACGAAACTGACGATGAAGATGACGTAACAGAATCAGAATTATCAACAGCAAGATCACAACAAAAGCAACAAGCACAGCCGCGACGAGTGTTGCCGCGGTAGGACATTTTGGACATTATTGTGACTTTTAGTCTGCATATCTGTGATATGCTATATCCGTCCATGCCAAGAGGAGGTCAAACCTGGGTCGCTGCAAGATCGAGGCCTCCAGTATATTTACACTGTTGAGAACTAGGGATATCACCAAACTGTAAGGAGAAGCCCATGAAATGATGAAGGCCAGTAAATAGTCCCAGTATTTTGGTCTTTTTCTGCCATATTGTGATTAGACTTCCAAGATTTGTGCTAATTTGTAAGAGATTTCCTATGATTAGTCTTTCGCATTTAAGCTTATATACAATAAAGGCTGGCTAGAACGTTTAATGGTAGTGTTCCCTACATACGGAGCTGTACGTCCTCCGCCACTTCTCTGTGTAGTCATGTACTTTACCTCAGACTTTCCTATCAGATACAGCATTCTCGGTCTAGTATTTAAAGTGTTGTGCCATATGATCTCTTTAGCCTGTTATCAGCAAACATGTACTGTATTAGGTATTAATGTACATAACCAAGGGAACTTGTTATCCTTGATATCAATGTAATTAACCCCAGTAGGATTGTTTGTATTCCCTTATACCATCGACCTTTGTTAGAGATTGTCAGGCTGTGCAGTTGCACTGTTACAGTGTATCTAATTTTAGTTTAATATTACTAATCTGTCTGATCTGGCTTACCTGCAGCTATAAAGAGATTTTACAGTACTTGGTGAACTATCTCTTTGTTTAACATTTATAGAATTACTCGAGTGTTTATAACATGTTTGTATCTACACAATGTTCACACTTAGCAATGAGTGAAGAATTTTGTCGAGGTGTTTAAGAAGCAAAATATTTCCATTCTTCCTGGACACTTTTTAGGCCAACTTATACACATTTCCATGCTTCAACTTTACAGAAAAAAATATTTGATAAACCTCTGTGGGCAAAAAAGTATTGCTGGATAATTTCTGTGTAACGAATAAGCTTTCTTGTAAATTTGGTTTAGCTTAACATATATTTAAATGTTAAATGTATGCCAGTATGTGCCCTTGAATAAGTATAAAACATGTACCCTTTCTATGTAATTTAATCCGAGGGTACATCAATTTATAGTTTACAGGTTTGTTACTGTCTAATCTTGTTGACAATTTATACATGTACTGTATAACATGAAATATTTGTGGGTATTTTGCTTTCGTGGCTTGAAGCCATTTTGATCGTTTCGTGGTACAATCGTTCGTGGATTCCCCATATAAACAAAAAGTAGTAAAGTATATCAAGTAAATTTCTTCTATTTATTTTCGTGGTTTTCCTTAGCCTCCACGAATGTTTATATACGACAAACATTACATGTTATACAGTATGTATGTGCACATCTACATTTAGTCAAGAAATTTAGTAGCACTTTGAAGTGTAAAGAATAGCATTGTGATATGATTTGGTGTGTGAAAAAGGTGATGGATATGTAATTAGGTAGAATGTACTAGATTGTCATGTTGTACATCTCTAATGTTATACAGCTTTGATACCTTCCAGAACACCAATATGCAACAAATGGATTTCAAGGTCAATGTTGCTGGTACAACATGAAGTAACCAGATTCCCACGGATTTGTACAAACTCATTGAATTGGCTAGACGCTAATGGATTCAATGTTTCCATTATGAAGCATGGTTTGCATCTGTCTGTCCAGTTTGATTTATTTTGATATATGGTTCTTCCCCAATCTGATTAAAATCATATCCTTCGTTCTCTACACATCACGTGATACGTAGAAAATGTAGGATATGATTTTAATCAGATTGGGGAGGAACCATTCTTTAAAGTTTGTGTATTAAAAACAACACTCATCATAACTGTAGAACTAAGTTTACAGCATAAACACAGCGAAAAGTGTTCATTAAATTATACTGCTTGTATTTGAATGTTCATTGTTTTCCAAAAGCACAGCGGCACAGATTTTGCAGAAGTACTCTTGTAAACTGTAAAGTGATGGGTTATTGATATTTTACTAGCACAATTGTCATCCACTTTAAAACACTGAAGACCAGTTATGAGTCGTAGCATATTTTATTTACATTACAATTTCTATGAATTTACTGTTTTTTAGCCAAACAGTATCATAAAACACACTAAATGTAAGAAAAAACAAAAAATCTCAAGAAATTTGATGTTTGCCTTACATTATTTCTAAGTATATACAGTTAATTGAATCCATCAATCCCGTGTGATGTAGTAAGGAATCTTAACCTGAAGTAAGATTTTGGAGGCTTTGTTGAGTGCTGAATGCCAAAAATCATATCCCAAGGTAGACATTTCTCGGTCTGCATCACACTGGAATAATAGATATTTTCTCCTACAATATCTTACTGTAAACAAAACAAAAATTGTTTTAAATTGTGAAACCAATGCACCAAGTGACATCATCACTGGTTAAAAAAAATAAGTAAAACTACAATAACATGATTCTATTGTGACATGGTTACACTACATAAAGTGGTGATGTACGTCTATGCTGAAGTGGTAATGTCTTCAGAGGCACGTTTGAACTGTCTTTCCTAGGTAAAATGTAGGTAAAGACGGTCTTATATCTTTCCTACAAAAATAGGAACACATGTACAACCGTAAAGTGTGGTAAAAAACATGAATACAATGTACTACACTCAGATATCTTTGTTATTATAAGTCACAATCAGATGTATTAACAATGTTTAGGTAAGAGATGTCAGGAAGAGTGTCAATAACTAAGTATGGGGGATACAGACATTCTACTCTCTGGTGTAGAATTTGCTGTCAGGACCAAGAAGCCTGGGATCTGACCCCGTATTCTACATTCGAGGGTAGCATGTCTATATCCCCAATACTTACATAGGAGACTCTTTGTTAATATACAGGAGAATTGTCTGTAAGCTTGTTCTAGTACCTGTGTTTTTACTATACACACTTATATTAGTGTTTATTATTTATCGACTTCATACATCGACATTAAATATGATAAGATGCACTGATTGATTATGACACTATCAATGACTGTTTGATCTAGATAATGTATTATGTGTACTTGGATGCATGCTAGCTAGTTCACTTCTGTATGATTTCAGTATTTATATGAATGAATGATTCACTGTTAATTGTAGATAATCGTTATTACTATGTTACATGTACGCATGGTTTGATATTATAACTAATACATAAATACATTATTGACTCTTCAAATCTAATATCGTTTGTTTTCTTTCAAAACTAAAAAAGGCTATTCTAAAATCAATTGTATGGAAGAACGGACTGGGAGGCATTTTTTTAGAGGTTATATAACTTGACCAATTATAACACTGAAACTGATAGTACATTACTCCCACTCCTTGTGTACAGGACCAGTAATAACACCAAACCGATAGTACATTACTCCCACTCCTTGTGTACAGGACCTGTAATAACACAGAAACCGACAGTACATTACTCCCATTCCTTGTGTACAGGACCAGTAATAACACTGAAACTGACAGTACATTACTCCCATTCCTTGTGTACAGGACCAGTAATAACACAGAAACTGACAGTACATTACTCCCACTCCTTGTGTACAATTCATTCTAGAATTGTCCCAGTAAAGAGTTTCAATAGATAATCATATCTCATAAATGAAATTCTTTAACTAGGTGCCGATTCTAAATTTAAGTTTTAAGTTTACATTTTTTATGTGGTCCCATCGCAACAAAATTTTAGATTAAAAATTAAATTAACTTATGAAGATCACATCTGTCTCATAAAATTCTTTACCCCTTGTTTTCAATAAAGAAAATTGAAGGTAGAAAGTACATAGTATTAGACAGTATTTATCACATAACGTACTATGTTATCCAGTGAATATACCAATGTCATATTTTTTGGCGTATTAACCCATGTTATATGACCTATCAGCCCTGTGATTGGTTGTAAGTTTCAATTATGACGTCACGCCTAGGATAAGTACATGACGTCACAGGCTTACACACTGGAGTCAAAATGGTGGCTTTTATACATTTCAAGGTTGCATGAAAATTGTTGTTTAACACAAATAAATGCCACAAATCTTGGTTATGTGATAAAAAGGATCTTAACTCGTTTTCATTTCATATGAAATTTATGAAACTTGTCACGAATTTTTAAATTGAAAAATTCTTAGACTTGTTTCATAAATCTCATGAAATGGAAACTCAGGTAAGATCCTATATGTATCAAGATTTTAAAGGTGTGACGTAAAACGTCACAATAACAACAGATCATAACATTACATCCTATTGCACCATTTTCAGTTCTCCCATCCATGAACAGTGGACACTTCACTGACGTGGTCACGGACCACTTGGTCTAGAATGTCATGAATATCCTTACACCCTTTAACGGCCATATCTGTCACTCGACTCAAATTGTCTTCATGAAGTCTTCCATTCATTTCTAAAAACACAATCTGTTCTGATTTGGGCAGGGTGGCTGCTATGATTTCTGGACTGCCAGAGGATTCCTCCAGGTAGTTGATGTCTGTTAGAGGCGTGTCGTTAACGAAGCTTGAGGAACATGCACACACATAGTCTCTCAGGGCTATTCCAGCGTCTATAAGGGCCAGTGTTGAGGCATTCACACTGGCACAGTAATTTCCTCCGTCAGACTGTAACACCTGAAATATTTGCATTTGTTTTTAGTGGGATTACATATTTACACAAAATGGGTTACCGGTAATACAATTGTGGTTAACAACAATAGTCATATAAAATCATGAACAATGATATACTGCAAATATGCACCTCTTAAAGACGACTGCATTACTAATTTATTTTGATATATTCGTTAGTTACTTCTGGAATATTTGTTCACATTGACGTAGGAGTACAACCTTTCAAAAATGTTAAACGGTAAGAAACTGTTTTACAAAATATGACAAAAGGTACAAAGAGCCCGTTATGTTAAACTCAGCCACCAGGGGAGCTAACTCTTCTACTACAATGATCCCAAGGCCCCAAGTGAACCCAGACCCTTGACTTTATCCTGGTGTTATGCTAATCAATCAGTTATGACCCAAGGACTAAGTCCCCAGCAGGACTCTTTGCCAATCATGGTAGGATAGGGTATTTTGTCTCTTAGCCAAACATTTGCATATGGTTCAATAGGGATCTCAATGTTTCCATGTTAATTATGATCTAGGAGCTAAATTTCCAACAGTGACATCTGGTACTAATGTGGCAGCATGTTTGTATCTGGAGGCCTAGCAGTTTAATATGGTTATAAGTCGGGGATCTCAACCACCTTTCTATTTCATACAATTAGCAACATATAAGGGTAAGGAATTCTGTTTGTTTCAACAATCGGGTATAATGTTTAATAAGATGGAGTTTTCCTCCTGGAATTCATGGAAGTCATTGTCCCCAAAGACTACATTCCATAACATCATTACTTAAGGTTATCAACATCATAAGGTTTCATTATTTTAGCAAGCAGGCTGGTGATGTATACTGTCCCAGTAACAATGTTAAGTAAGAGTTCTCATATGCTGTCAACCCATTATCTCTGTCCAAACAAAAAAGGAAAGATAAAGAACACGAACTGTTACTGCATGGTTATGAGTTGTTTTACCTCTACAAAAATATCAATCTGTGACCTGGGATAAAGACTTGTTTGGATTGCAGCATCAAATGTTTGTTGAAGATGCATGGTCATTTCCTGTGACTTCCTGTCCCCACGAGGCCTCCGTTTGCGTTCTCCAGTACTAAATGTGGCCATACTGTACTGGCAGTTTACCAGGACCTTGTCATGTAGAACTTTACTTCGGCTTCCCCGGATCTGTAAAGCAAATGTTATCATAAATCTTTAAATAAAAAAATTGCAAAAACATAAATTGTTGGACGAGCTAGCTGATCAATAAGATGGCTAAACCGTCTACAGACCACTTATATTACAAAACAGCAGAACTTATCGACAGCCAAATTGGAGAGACATATTGACATAGTAATATGATATTCAACTATAATAAACATGAGCTAACCATTAAAACATTAGAATAAATAGAAATTCTACTATTGTTTCAATACATCCATGTTTGACTCCTCGGGAACCTACATGGCAAATGTCAACATTCTTGTAGAAATATTTATTATAAATTTCATCATTTAAGCTAGCTTACATTACAGGCTGTCTATAATTACTCTGTATTTTAATTTCTAGGTATGACTTTTAATTAGATTTTTTTGTTTTGCTCATAGAACCCGCGTTGTATAAGGTAATATATTTGAAAAACAAAAACTGATAGCTACAGACTTATTGTTACTATTTCAATCTTTTTGAATCTTCAAAAAATGTCTCAATTGATCTTTTTAATACATATGACCCACAAGATGAAGAAAGTAGATCAAAGTCATCCATTTCAACAAAGTTGACAGCCCAGCACACTACAGGCCAAATGTCATCACCCTAGTCATTTTGGTTATTCTGCTTTCAGAAGAAGTTGTTAAAAGGTTTCAACACATTTGGCCCCTGTGACAATGGAATGGAGTCAAGGTCATTCAATTGAACTAACTTGATAGCCCCTCACCCCAGCATGGTTTGATACCAGCAACGAATACTGAAGGTTATATTCATGAATTTCACCAAAACTTTAATAAAAGTATTTAAAATGTATAAGGTATCAAAAGCTTTATTTACTTTAAAACAATTAGGAAACAATTTTTGTTAAACTTATATTAATCACTATTGTTGGCCATAGTGGAAGTGCACAGAGGGTATTAATGTGGGAATTCACAGAGAAAATCCACTTGGTCTGGCAGATGATTCAATACATTTCACATTTGATCAGACATTGGAGACAGGTAAGAGTGCTATCCACTATGCCATGCCACGCCCACAACTTTCCATTTCAAAGGTGTTTTTTGAGTAAATAAAGAAAACAGTATTTCTGATTTTATATTATTGAAATATAATAAAAACCACTAGCTGAAGACAGCTCTGAAAAACTGGCATATTTATATATTATGTGTATCTTTGTAGCTAAGTCTATACTGTACTGCACTGTAAAAAAACATGACTCGTTTTCTGTGTAACAGGAGAAAGAGAAAATGTAACGGCCAGACCGGGGTACAAACCTGGGACCCTCCGAACTCTAGAAGGACACTCTACCAATTGAGCTACCTGGTCGCCGACGATCAACCCAGTCCAGTTGCGCTACATTCCTCCTTTTTTTAAGTCTTCGCCCCCGAAAACACAACTTTTACAACCCAAGTTTGGTATCCCCCTCCAATGCTTGAAACAAAAGTTGCCAAGCCCCCCAATTTTAGTAACAGGAGAAAGAGAAAATGTAACGGCCAGACCGGGGTTCGAACCTGTGACCCTCCGAACTCTAGACGGACGCTCTACCAATTGAGCTACATGGTCGCCGACGATTGTAGTTTGAAGTAGGACGAGGAATATTGATAAAGATAACTAATTGCTGTTGCTGGGGCACAAACCTGCGACACTTGGCTCTCCAACCCGATACTCTACCTCTGAGCTAAAGAAAATTCCCTACAGCTGACGTTTGTACAGCAATCTAATCAATGCACATCTTTTACACTATTCCCCCCTTTTTTTCAAACACGAACCCAGGGGTTCTCCTACATTGAACGGGGAGAATTAACGGCAAAAGCTTGTAGCAGGACGAGGAATAGAGATAAAGATAGTGCCGTTACTTGTCTGAAATACATATAAGCTATACTGATATTGGTCACATGTGTATGTTTGTGTGCTGACCCATATCAGTATAACAAATGTGTATTTCAGATATTTGTAACATTGAGCTAATGGGAAATTCGCTACAGCTGACGCTTGTTAGGCAACCTAATCATTGAACAACTTCTACATGTGTTATACACTGATCCTTGTCCCCTTTATATCAAAGTCATGTTGTTAAAAGTGTATTTGTGTGTCTCTTGAGTGGAAATTGAGCGTGTTATACTTACCATGTCACTCTCTATAAATATAATAATACTTTTTATTTTATATCGATACTCTGGACTGCTAACGTTAATACCTAATATAAAACTTGCCTCATGAGGGCCATACACAGCAGCTAAAACTTTGGTATTGCCTTGTTCTATGTATGCAGAACCGTCAGCTTGGTTAAACACTCCAAGACGACACTGGATCTTCCTTAGTTCGTGGGGTCTTCGCCCGTCAATGCGGAATCCTTGATCGGAGAGTAATTCTAGACCGGCCATGCTTTCCTTTTAAAATGAAACCGGAAGTAATCAATTGTTTCTAATCCAGAACCCGGTATTGGATATTCGTTATGAAAAATGTTATGCAAAATGTAAATTTCGACATAAAATATAATTTAATGTTTTTATTTTGAATTTTATATGCATCCTTTTGAATAAAATAACGTATATTGCCTTTTAGGCGTATATGGTAAATTAATAATCTCCTATGTATATACCTAAATAACCACTGATCCCTTCCTCGGAACTCTTCAGTGTTCGTTTTCAAAACGCGGACAGACGACGCACATGTTGGCTACAGACAGTGGGAAAAGAAGACAGAAAGGAACGGTGCCAGGGTTTTAATACTAGAATTCATCGACTGATACAGCTGTAAGCATGTCGTTTAATGTGTTACTCCCCAGTTACTTCTACTGACCGAACATATTGCCAGTAACTGGATAGATTCTACAATTATGGTCAAATATATACTAGTGGGTAACCAAAAATGTTTACCAACTCCTAGCAGGTTTATCCAATGAATTGGGTGTGAGGTAACCTATAGTGGTTGTGGGAGAAATATATAGCTATGTCCATGCACTGTAATCCAGTAGTATTGTGATACAGTAGTCTAGTGTTGTTGTGTAATAAAAGACTTGACAGTAAATCAGAAACACTAACAAACAGTTCTGGTAGGATGAGACACATTTTGTTGTCCAATAATCAGTGGTAGTTGTATATTCATACTGTGTCTCATTCTTTCCATTCATTTTTATTTTCGAAAAAAAAAACTTGCTTCAATATATATGCAAGTTTTGATGAAGAAACTCAATTGGTAGAGTATCCACCTATAGAGCTAGAAGGGTCCCAGGTTGGAACCCCTGACTAGCCTTACATTGACATTTCCTTTCACATTTACAACGCAGGTTAGTGTCCATATAGAGTTCGGAGATTCCAGGTTCAAATACTTGTCTGGTCTTTAAAATTTCCATATTACATTTGGCGCCTATAACAACGTACCAACATAAGATGATAAAGGGTCGCCTGTGTCTTTGGGGTTAAGACTTTTTTGAAGGAGGGAGTGTTTTGGTACCGTAGATCAAGTAGCACAATTTGTTAGAAGCAGTTAACAAGTTATTATCCATGGTTATAGGGCCTTTGCAACCAGCCAATATCTTTCTCAACTACCTGGGGAGCATATATACAGCCGGTGCTGCTATTTCGGTGCTCACAGCTAACATTCAACAATTCTAGCACTGCCCAACCACGTACTCATTTACAGCTGAGTAGACTAGAACAAGCAGAGTAAAGAATCTTGTTCAAAGATACAACAAGGTGCCGTGATGTGACTCGAACACACAACCCTTCGGTCACGAACCCAGCATCCTACCATTAGACTACCATGCCTCCAATATAATCATATTATAAAATAAGATTGGCATTTGGATCAATTTCAAATGAAGAAATATAATTCTTGTTTTAAGACCAGTTGTTATGAATTGGTGTGAAGGTGATAAGATATTTTAACTGGCATTTAACACAATTTGGCTCTGTCTAATATATTATTAATCATAGCGAAAAGTGATTCAAAGATAATGTTTTTTTGGTTGAAACAAGTGCATAATGGCCATAATTGATAAAATTAACAAGGGGTATAACGTGTGTATTAAACCTTTATCTTGGTGGCAAATATGACCTTATTTACATCATATTTTAAGTGGCTACACTGGCAATAAGAACATGGAATTTAATTTGAATGTGAATCCAATAGGTTGAGAGAATGACCTAAATTTCATGTTCTAATCACAAAAACTGACATATAAAATCCATTTTTACAAGCCTTAACAAATATTATGTTCATAATTTTTAGAAATGATGAATTCAAAGAATAAATTGAATAACTCCTCCCCACAGGTAGGTGGTTGGGTTGGTTGTGTTGGAGTTGGCATCTTCAAACAGCTTATATGATTTACTGTCTGTTTAGAAGTTGAGCCACAACAAGAAAGCTAATGTACCAAAGCCTTTAATAAATCAAATGTCACTTTTACAGCAGAATACTATGGAGGAACCAAGCAGTGAGATGTGTTTGAAAGTGTTAAGAGACGCCAAATCTGACAATGAAAAATTTGCTGCTTTATTACTGGTATGTACAATGCATTATTGTTCTTTTTGAAAACAGATGAATTTTAGGGACCTTTGCAGATCCAGAGGTTGTTTTTAATGCCCTCTGCAATATTTCAGATCTTTTGTTGTCTTCCCGTATTCCTCAACATTTTTTAGCTCACCATTATCAAACTGACCTTTAACTGTGGCCTGTCTTCCAGCATCTGTCCTCAACCAATTCTTTGTTATCACAATATCACAGTACATGATGAGTCTTTCTCAAATTTCATAGGAAGGTTCCCCATAGTCCTAATAGATGAACTTACATAGAGTTAATGAATTATGATGGTGGGAGCCAACGTCCCTTTAGGATATCTGTTTTACTTCACTTGTTATCTTGGCATGCATACCATTTTCATTCCCATTTCTCATTCATTGTGGCCCTATGTAATATGTGTTAATGGGTCATTATTAATAAATTGAATAAGTTTATATTTCAGATAGCAAAACTAACTAAAGCAAAACCTCTATCAAGTGAAGAAAGGAATGACTTGTTATCAACAGTTGGCTTGAAGTTCCTTACCAGGCTTCTCAAATCTAGTGAGTTTGTTTAAAATCTTTTTTTGTGTGTAGAATGTGATGTGAGCACATAAATGGATGAACAGATTGAAATCATTAAATGGTATAAATATGGAGAAAAAAAAATCAGCTACAAAGTACATAAAAACTTTTAGCCTATCTTATTACAGTATATAAAAGAGACAATTTCATGTTTGAGAAGTAAACTTAAACTTGTGCTCTTATTACAATATTTGTTGGTTATGTTTGACAGAGTCTGCTCCAGAGGGATGTGCTGCTAGCATATATCAATCAATCGCTCTGAGTATCCTGTCTGGTCTGTGTACCGAACCTCATCAGGTAAGACACGTCTTTATATAGTAGGACCATACTGTTTAAGATGTTGAGAAGTGTGCAGTGGTGATTATATACCACATAGATGTTGTTTTGTTTTTTTCCCTATTATTTTGAAGCGACCTACCTAATTTTGATAGGTGCAGATATTTGTTCATTAAATTAGCAAGTATTTAATGATTATCCTAACAAATTTCATAAAAGTGTTTTCCTATTTTTATAAATGCTGAAGATAATTCTAAATTTGATGGCAGAGAATAACATTTTTGATAAGTTTTGTTAGTAACCTAACTCATTTGATTTACATGTTTGCAATATATTTTTTGTGCAGGTAGCATGTAACTTTTACCTGGTCATTGATTTCAGATTGCACAAGTAGGACTGAAGAGAAACATTGAAATCTTGAATGGGATAGTGTTAACGAACCCAGGGTACGTACCATACCATTTGATTTGTTTACAAACCTAAGGTATGTACCAACCTGTTTAATTTGTTGAAGAACCCCGGGTACCTAACATTGTCATTGTTCAGGTAATACTGTATACAGTCAAACTTTCGCCCAGTTAAATAGTTGCCTTCACGTGTAGTTACTATATATATTGTCTATTGCATACCTACTAGTATTCATAATAAATTTGCCTTCATTTGGGAGGGCAAAAAAGACAAAAGTTAAACTGCTGCAAACATTTCCCATTATACAGTATAAGATACCTTTTAAATACTTTTTAGATGATAAAAGTGGACTTGTTAATGTGGCAGCATTTTCTCAAATAGCTGTCTTTTCTAATTTAGGACAACATAATTATTGTCTCACTATGAATCTGATATTGCAGCACGATTTCAGCACAATTTTTTTCCATAACAAAGAGAGTATGAAGAGTGAAACTGAAAGTGCAAAAAAGTGTATACCAAATTTTTATTTTTTTTGAATTTCTGCAGCTGATTGAAACAATGTTATATTTGAACATTTGAGGAATTCAAACATGAATCCTGAAAACAATCGCATTCCTCAGATAAATTGTAAATACAGATTATAACATGTTAATCAGAGGTACTGACGGGGAGGATGAGGTGGTGACAACTATGGTTGCTGACTGTTATGACATACTACAGAACCTGGCCAGCACAGCGGAAGGATGTGATCAGCTGCTGGCCAACTTGACACCCATCACGCTGTGCAGAATCATCCTTGACAACCTGTATGGTAGGAGGATCAAAAGTTGCTTAATTCAAATTAAAATGGAACCTATAAAAAGTGTTTAGCTTTGGTCAGCTGTTTGATTTATATTTTTAGGAAAACATTAAAGGATAATGAAGATGTAGATCAAATTATATTTACGCATTTTGGTTAATGTGTTTATTTGGGGTTCACATATGACAATGTTGTTCAAAATTGGTCAGGCTACTAAAAGGGCATTGACATGCCATAACTTGGATGCTATTTCTGTCCCCAAACTGCAACGTGCAGGAAAATACTCAACTCTAAATTGACCCCCACATCAGTGGCCTCATATACTGCAAGTCAATTCCTCTCCCAAAGTCAAGAGAGAGTAAAACAGGAGACTACTGTAAACTGAACGTTTTGCTGTGTATCTTACAGTTTATTATGGGTAAATTGGAACAAAGATATAAATCTGTGAACAATTAAACTGATTTTAAAGTTATGATTTATCAACAGATTACAAAAAAATAAATAAAAAATGGTTTGTAAATATTAAAAATGATAGTTTACAGAACTGTTTTATCACAGAAGGTGGGTGGGTGTGGAGACGCAACGTCCTAGATAAGTGATGCATCTTCTATTTCATTGTTGATTATACCGTTCAAACTGGTGAAATTAAAAATCCAGGAAAAAGTGTGAACAACACGACAACTGTTTCATGTTAGACAGTTAGATAAATCATAACTCAAGTTAACTACAGATAACTTCATTTCTGTCTGATCTGTAGCTGCCGAAACCAATACCTCAAGGTCTGATCAATTTCAATTTATATTGAAATTTTACATTATCGTACCATAGATAATGTAAAATTTCAAAACAAAATTCATCATACCAGCTTTCTTGCATACTAGACCGAGATATCCGCATTTCTGGTGGTGCTGGAATACTATCATGGGTCTGGATCACTTACAGGCACAGACTGGCAGGGGAATTATAGTGACCTTTCGAGGTCATGGTATTGTTTGTGACGTCATTTTTTGACGTTTTGGGGTCAGTCAGGGTCACTGACGTCATTCACAATTGCCATCCGGGCTTCATATGCAAATGAGAAATGTGCAGACAATTTACAACTTTATTAGAAGAGTAGTTTTTTTTTACGGTTTTAGGTAATAGGCAAGAAATAGAATCCATCCCTGATTATGTTGTCTGTTGTTATAGGGGCGGAGAGAGCAGAGGGTGTGCTGAGATGTATGCTGTCTGTGGTTGGACCTAAGGTGTGGCTGACACACAGACAGACTAAGCTTCTTCACAGCATGATGGTCCACCTTGTAAAATCATTCAACAAATTTCAGGTAATGGTATACAGATGGCAGCCATTTTTCCTTGTAGAGGAGACATTTATTGAATCAGTTATGCACATCCTTTCCTCTCTATGACCAATATTTATTATATGCCCGTCAAATTTGGAACTTGGTATACATTATAATCATGATATTAAGTTGTGTCTCCCTTAAAAGAATTTTGATTCGACAATTTTTCCAAAAGTTATTGCCCTTTGTTTATTTCAGTAATTTTTTTTGTCCAGCAATCTCCTCCTATATTTTTCAACGGATCTCTTTGAAACTTGGTATGCATTGTAATCATGATATGAAGTTGTGTCTCACTTAAAAGAAGTTTGATTGGACGATTTTTGTAAAAAGTATTGTCCTTTGTTCATTTCAGTATTTGATTTTTTGTACTGAGATTTTCAGCTTACCACTCTAAGAATGATGCAGATCTTATTTCAATGTAAGAAAGTAAACAACACTATATGGCATTCGACGGGCGTATATTATTCTGCCCCGCTGTACTCTTGTTTTCAAAAGAAGTAGGGTAAGATCCCCAAGACCCAATAAGTCTACAAGTTTGCCAAGTCCATTTTTTTCATTTCAGGAGGATACTGTATGGTATTTACAGAACCCTCTTAAAAATAATTTGAAAATGTCCCAATGTTACTCAAACTTTATCATGAAACAATCATAGAAATATTATGCCCTGAGGGCAAATATGTTGGCAACCACACAGGCAAAAAAATGTACTTGATGGAAACAAATCTTCAGGAGTTGTCACTATTCTTTTTACTTTCAAATGTTTAAAAGGAAAAATAGTTATGCACAAATCTGTCCTTTTTCACAGGATGACAACAAATTTGAAATGTGCGGCTTCCTACAACAAATGCTTCAAAGTATTCCTGATGACATGGTAAGTGTTACAACTGGCCTCTGAACCCTTTCACCCCTATGTAACTTTAGTAGACTCTACCATGCATTGATCTGGATGAGTCCATTATGGTCTACAGTGGTGAAAGGGTTAACTTGCATTATCAAAAGCTTTCTAGATTATATTGTATATCTAAATTAATATTCAAAACAATATCCATGAACAAGGTCTTTAGACCTTCACCATAGGACATCAGTTAAGTGTTGGTATCGAAATCTGACAATCTTATACTCATTGTTTTATTGATATTTCCTTTAGGTTGAAGAATGTAAGAAAAGTACTTGGCTGCCAGTCTTGGTGAAAACAGTGAGAGAAATCCTTACCAGTAGATTAGGTAGGTCAGTGTTTCTCTACTATATGTACCTCTGTTTCAATGAATTTTCTGATAAGATTTACCTCACCACTGCTATATGTACCTCTGTTTCAATGAAGTTTCTGATAAGATTTACCTCACCACTCATAATTTGTTAGCTTTTCTGCCCAAAGGCACTTTGAATAACATCTGAATAATGGAGAGGCTTAGGGCAGGGATACCTCTACATATGAGTCCGAAGTCCTATATCTACTCATAGAATTTTGTCCCTAGTTTCATGGGACTAGTAGAATTTCTGGAAATACTAAAATTTAATATTGTGGGACCCATTGTTTTTAGCTATACAGTTGAAAAGGACCCATGGAAATAAATTGTAGATTGATTACTGTTAGGGTCATGGTATTTTCCCACTACCATGCTGGGGAAAAGCGCTATCAAATTTGTTCAAGTAAATGACCTTGACCTACTTTCAAGGTCACAGGGATCAAATTTCTTAAAACATTACAACAACTTCTTCTTTATAACCAAGAAGCCTAGTGTGATGATATTTGGCCAGTAGCATACTGGCATTTAATTGCTATCACTTGTGTCCAAATAAATAACTTGAACCACTATCCAGATCAGAGGGGTCAAATTTGTTAAAACATTTAAAGGTCTTTTCAAAAACCAAGAGGCCTAGAGTCATGATATTTGGCAAGAAGCCTCCTGGGATGAAGGGTTTTCAAGTTTGTATAAGTGAACTACCATGACCTGCTTTTTAAGTTCACATGGATCAAATGTGTGAAAAGCTTTAAACAACATATGATCTGTATAACCAATATTAACCATGGGCAAAGGGTCATACTGTTTTGTCTGTATCCTCAACATGTTAAGCTACATATAGAGTTGTGTGTGATTTGTTTAGCAACATTTAGGATGAATTGTTCACACGAGTATTTTACAAAAGACAAAATGTATAAAATAATGAAAACAGAAAAATATCTGTTAATGAAGATTTCATTACTGTCAGAGGATAGTGTGTTTGCAAATGATTAAAATAGCTATATAAATGTGATAGCTATATATGAATAGTATCATTTAACTATTCATTATTTCTACTCTGTATGTAGTAGCAACAATATCAATTTCATGGTGATGCTTTTGCAGGTGAGGACCAGCGAAATCCTACTTTGTGCTTGGTTGCTGCCATGATTGACCGCCTAGGAGTGACCACTGTCCTTCCACCACTGACCTCCGACCAGCAGCTTCTTCTGGTCATCACTCACCTGAGCTGTATAGAAATCAGGATGATATTAGAAAACTTCCCTTTTGAGCAGGTATATGAAACTGAACTTAATTCCATACTTTTAATGTTCTTCTAAAGTTTGCATATGTAAAATGGTGTTTACATCTGAAGTGCTATAAAGAAAGAATTTGAGACTAAATATTTCAGTTAACATATGTGACCATGGTGAAATATAAGCCGCTTCCTACCGACTCGGCTAGGGAGAATTTCTCTTTAGCTCATTCAGTAGAGCGTAAGACTAGTAAACCATAGGTCCTGTGTTTGACTCCTAACGGAGGCATTGAAAAAATAATGACCACTGTTACATATGAATTTGTGTAACGACACTGAAGGTTTACACACTTGGGCAACCAGTTAAGGCTTTGCTTCAACATGTAATATTTCTGTTTCTACCTAACGTGGACTCATTGATACATTTTACTACAAAACGTAACCTGTTTCATTATTCAGGGTGTTGAATAGATGATTAAGGACTGCAAGCATGTCAACAATGGAGATGTTGTTCAATGACGGAAAATAATGTCAGAATCTGTGATTTGCACTGAGTTCCTGGAGATCTTTCCCTGATTTTCATTTTATTTAACGCTTTCACCCCTATGTAACTTTAGTAAACTCTACCATGTATTGATTTGGTTGAGTCTATTATGGTCTACGGTGGTGTAAGGGTTAAGATGACTTAATATTACTCTGAATATGTTGAATGGAGATGTAAGGTTTTACTCTTGGTATTTCTAAAAAAGAAAAGTATGTAAAAGGTATTTGATGTGGATTTCTCTCTAGGTCGTGGAGAAGGCAGATGTTCTGTGTAGCTGTTATCTGCTGATGGAAAACATCATTTACTACATGACCAATTCTCCGTCAATGAAGCTGGATGAGAAACAGGTCACGCAACTCCACCATGCCATGGTGGGCTCTGTTAATGCAATCTTGGGTTTTCTCCGGGAGGCCTCTGAGAAGGAAACCTCAAATGTATGTAGACTTTGTCTCTCACCAGATCTGATCTATACTCAGCCAATGACAACTCGGGTAGAAATTTATGTGTCTGAACAGTACTTAGGGAGTACATTTCATTAATGTAAATGTGGTAAAAAGCAGTTTCCAAGTCTTCACTGGGGAATGTTCTATGCGTTGTTATATACTAAATTTTCCTCATGTTGAAATTATACAAACATTTCAAAGTTTTTGTATTACTCAGTTAAACCTATTGCTTTGATAAATTTTCACTGTTTCATTTTCAAAGAGTTGCCTCATGTTAATTCGTTCACCATTTTGAGATTTTAATTTCTGATGGATTCAAAACAAAACAAAGCCATTACAGAAGAAGTTTAAACCTGATGTTGAATTTGCATTCTCCTTGATGATTGAAAGTAAAACAGATGCAAAGATTTTCACAGTTATATAGCGTAGATTGTGCTTGTAGAAATATCCAGAGCCCGTCGTGATTGCCACTATCCGAGTCCTTGGGGTGTGGATGTCCGAGGAGACTTCTGCTCTTAAGGAACACACATACGCCTTGGTGCCTTATCTCCTAAAAGTCTGGTAAAGTCTTTCTACTATGTGAATGTATTGATTATACTTTCTACAGTAAAGATGTCTGTCATTCTATTTGTAGACATATCTTTATAAGAACCTTGTTAATGGAGTCTCCTGCATCAGAGTACTCCATAGATTTCAATGAAACTTTATACACTTTATCAATACCTAGTAGTTATTTTCCATTACGACAAAGAGTTTTGTCCCTTTTCTAAAAGAAAAACAGCAAAAAAGGTGTCCGGACTACTTCTCCTATTGATATATTACATAGTTTTCATAAAAACTTTGTACACTTTATCAGTTTGCAAGGTAGTTGTTAATCATGCCGTTTATTTTTCCTTGTGAATGGTATTAGTCTGAGTGAATTACGACCAAAAGTTAGTTCTTAGAAGGTGCGAGTGTATTAGTTAGCCTATAAGTAATAGTTCTTGTTATACATTGACACGATTTTTGTGAAAAGATTTGCATTTAATATGATTGATTTGTTGATTTAATTATGAAGTAAACTGTGATATTTTTATTCCTGTAGTAAACAGCAGGTGCAATCCAGAAAGATGGCTAAAGTCGGTGGTGATGGAATCAAAGGATGTTGTAACACACCGACAGGAATGTCTCAACAACACAATAGTCAACAGGACACGACGCTTACCAACCAGTCACAGAAATCGTCAGTAGGTAAAGACAATGCTGGTCCAGTGACCTCTCAGGACAGTCCAGGGTCAGAGGTCACACAAAATATTAATCCTGCTGAAGAGAATCTTTTATCTTCAATGGAGCAATGTGACATTAAATGCGACGACAACAAAGTTTCAGACATTTCTAAACAATGTGAGGAAAGAAACCAGTCAGGTCAGGGAAATACTGCAGATTCTAATTCAGTCCTGGAAAGTGATATTCTAAACAATCAAAACCAAAGGGAGAGAAACAACAATGTGACAGACATTTCTTCCCACAAATCTAAATCAGTGTCCTTTAGTTTAGAAGCCTGTGGAGACTGTGGAAGTGATGATGGTTTACATGACACAGGAGATAACCATAGCTGTGATGACGTTGATCTGCTACGCTTCCTGTTACCAGCCTTCTGTCACTTCATGGCAGAGGACGAGTCACGCCAGATACTGCTTATCAACCATTCACAGACTCTGCTGGTCGACTACTTCAAGCTCTGTCTCAGCACAGTCTTGGAGGAAGAAGATAGCAAACAGGCAAAGGTAATTCTAAGCTCTGTTACCGAATAGTTTTAAGAAAAAGGATAGGATAGATAAGGCTAGGCTCTAATAATAGTTTTATGGAGAGAGGATACCCAAAGTAAGTGTAGGCTAAATTCTGAAACAGTTTTTGAAGCTGTTGATAGCAAGTAGTTTTTTAAGGGCTGATAAGCAAACAGACAGAGTCTTTCATCTCCTTTTAAGGGTTGGATAGTAAACAAACAAAGGTAGGTCCTGAGTCTGGTCATAGTAGGGACAACAGTAAAAAGGCAAATAAAAGTCTTGGGGCCTCCTTGTGTAAAGTTGATAGAATAGCACTAGTTGTACAATGAAAGGATAGAAACAATAGTTAAATAACAAAAAAAATTGGTTGACCAAAAGTGTGCTGTACTATTTTTGCTGGTCTGCTTCAAGAAAAAAACGTTCTACTCTATAAAGAGAAATATTTTATTTTTATATCTTAAATCTACTTTCCATTATCGAAAATAGTGTTGACAAACATGTATATGTTGATACTCACCTTCAGTGACACATTTCAGGGGAGCTTGTTGGTGGTGTGTGGAGCCTTAATGAACCTAGTGGTGTTAGAGAAAGATCTGATTTCTACAGACGATGACATGCACATCCTGTGTCAGGTTGTCATGGAGGCAGTGCCACTTCTCTGTAAGTATCATGCACGTCCTGTGTCAGGTTGTCGTGGAGGCAGTGCCACTTCTCTATAAGTAACATGCACGTCCTGTGTCAGGTTGTCATGGAGGCATTGCCACTTCTCTGTAAGTATCATGCACGTCCTGTGTCAGGTTGTCGTGGAGGCAGTGCCACTTCTCTGTAAGTAACATGCACGTCCTGTGTCAGGTTTTCGTGGAGGCAGTGCCACTTCTCTGTAAGAAACATGCACGTCCTGCGTCAGGTTGTCGTGGAGGCAGTGCCACTTCTCTGTAAGTAACATGCGCGTCCTGTGTTAGGTTGTCGTGGAGGCAGTGCCACTTCTCTGTAAGAAACATGCTCGTCCTGCGTCAGGTTGTCGTGGAGGCAGTGCCACTTCTCTGTAAGTAACATGCACGTCCTGTGTCAGGTAGTCGTGGAGGCAGTGCCACTTCTCTGTAAGTACATTACACAGTCCCCTATGGGAGGCCATAGTGAAGCCTTTATCAATACTCTGTAAATACACAGGTGCTGGACACACTAATAGTTATATGATGTGGATATACTTTATAATAGTAAATATATTATATACACATTATATTACTATAAGTGTGTCCAGCACCTGTGCCTGTCTGAATCAGGCCATCATGGAAGAGGCATTACCTCTCTGTATGTACAGTGTACAAAATCTCCTTATCAGGCCATCGGAGAGGAGACATAAACTCTCTGTAGTCAGGCCATCGGAGAGGAGGCATAAACTCTCTGTAGTCAGGCCATCGGAGAAGAGGCATAAACTCTCTGTGTCCCCAGTGTACGATGAAAGGCTTTAACACTCGAGATCAAGGGAATTGTTACAGAAATGCATTATATTTGTTACATTCTTTTCTTACAAATCTAGATAGTGAAACTCACATGTATAAAGGAACATGCATATATTTTCTTTGATAGACCAGAAGATTAGCACTCGCTAGAAAACATTGGTGCTCTGTCTTTTTAGGTCACCTGAGCTTTAGCTCAAGTGACCTATTGCTATCCGTTTTCGTCCGTCGTCGTCCGTCGTCCATCGTCCGTTAACATTTTACATTTCAAACTTAAAGTCAAGTTCTGCTGGGCCGATTGAACTGAAAGTTGGTAGGAATGATCGCCTCATGGTCCTGACAAAGTGTTGTTATTTTTCGGGTCGATCAGAAATCCAATATGGCCGCCACGGCCGCCATTTTGAAAACCTATTTCAAACTTAAAGTCAAGTTCTGCTGGGCCGATTGAACTGAAAGTTTGTAGGAATGATCGACTCATGGTCCTGACAAAGTGTTGTTATTTTTCGGGTCGATCAGAAATCCAATATGGCCACCACGGCCGCCATTTTGAAAAACTATTTCAAACTTAAAGTAAAGTTCTACTTGGCCGATTGAACTGAAACTTTGTAGGAATGATCGAATCATGGTCCTGACAAAGTGTTGTTATTTTTCGGGTCAATCAGAAATACAATTTGGCTGCCATGGCCGCTATTTTGTAAATACCTATTTCAAACTTAAAAACAAGTTCTAATAGGCCGATCTCACTTAAAATCGGTCTAGGAAAGATCAGCTCATGGTCCTGACAAAGTTAAGTTAACATTATACTTAACTATTTTTTACTCAAATTGGTACATATTTCAACAACAAAAATAAATACTGTAGGACTCAGGTGACCGTTAAGGCCCATGGGCCTCTTGTTTTGCTTATCTGCATGCAGATTGGCAAGACTTCTTTTTATGAAAATCATAGAGAAAAAATCTCACTTGTCTGTATGATCAAACAAAACTTGAATCACTAAGTATGTGTAATCCTATTTTGTTGTAGTGAACCGAGAAGAGTATCTGATTTTGTGGTGTAACCTTGTCACATTAGGGATGTTCCTGTTACTGCGCCAGTACAAAACCTCCAAAGGTAACCTTCTGTCTTAATTGTGTCAGGCCAGTTAAAATACCCAACACTTAATGCACAAATACATGTTCAATCATACATGTTATAATTAATTTCAACCCTAAATGTATCGAACACAGTTGATATAAACTGAAAGTGTTCCATTTCAAAATACATCTGGTAAACTTCTAATTAAATTATGATCAGGGTAGGTTTCTTCAAATTTATTCAGTACTGGTCGACCAGTTTCACCTTTAGCGGGCTTCGCAAGGACAAAATTACACAGTATTCCAACCCCTTAATTACTAAAACTGCAGGCATGTGATTCTAAATGTGATCATAATCTTTATTGTGATGTCCCGCCACAGACGATTTCTAAGTGCAGATAACTCTTATATGATTATCACAGTCCATACGTCTGTTACACTGTGTATAATATAGCCTAACAATGCTTTTATAATATACTTCCTCCACAGTTAGTATTGCCTAACGAAATCAATGCATAAACATGTACACAACAATAATTTCATGTTGGCTTGAAGCTTAAAAATGTTCATCCAAGCACAGTATTGACATAGACTCCAACCTGTATCTATATTGTTTGGATGAACTGACATCAAACAAACATTACAGTCCTGCAGCTTTACTGGCAGGGATATAATAAAAAAAAAAATGGAAACTTATAAATTTAAATACGTTGTACATAAAAGGTTAATGATGGCAAAATACTAAACCATATACAGATAAAATAACAAAACCAAAGCATGAGCAAAAACCTTATCAATACATGTATACTAAAAGCAGGTAATCATTTCTTTCTGTAACAGTACTTTCCGACCAGAAATCAAGGTTCTTTGTCGTGGTGATGTCGTTTGTGAAAGGTCCATTTACCATCAAGTCCCATAAACAGAAGGAGGTGCTCCAGATCAGTGACGTGTACACACCAGTGTGGGAGGATGTCTCCGAACTATGGCACCTTACCCTCCAGGGTAAGTGTCCGTATAATATGTACAGTTTCTGATAAATCCAAAAATCCAACTGAAATATTGTGCCTGTGAAATTTATGTGATTTCTGTCGGACATGAATCAATTCTTATAAAGAATTTTAAGAATATTATTGTTAGCTCACCTGGTCCAAAGGACCAAGGTGAGCTTATGCCATACCGTGGCGTCTGTCTTCCGTCCGTCAACAATTTCTTTAAACGACTTCTTCTTCTTAACCACTGATTGGAATTTAACTAAATTTGACTGGAAGCATCCCTAGGTGGTGGGGATTCAAAATTGTACAAATGGTGGCGCTGACCCCCCAGGGGGCTGAGGGGCGGGGCCAAAAAGGGGTAATTTGGCTAGCTATATTTCTACAAACGACTTCTTCTGTAGAACTATGCACTGGATATCGATCATATTTAATCAAAAGCATTCGTGGGATGCAGGGATTCAAAATTGTTCAAATGGTGGGGCTGACCCCCCAGAGGGCTGAGGGGCTGGGCCAAAAAGGGTTATTTGGCTATATTTCTACAAACGACTTCTTCTGTAGAACTATGCACTGGATATCAATCCTATTTGGTTGGAAGCATTCATAAAAGGCAGGGATTCAAAATTGTACAAATGGTGGGGCTGACCCCCCAGGCTAAGGGGTGGGGCCAAAAAAAGTTTATTGCCTGGAAATGGTTGGGATACCCTATATATAACCAAATATACAATTGCTGAGTATAAAGAGAAGAATGCACATTTGCTTCCGGGATGGCCCTAGGGTCTGGCCCCACCCTTGGAAACATAGTCCTCCGGCCATAACTTAAAAACGGTTGAGATCCCCAGCCCAAAACTATATATACAAATGCTGGGCATAAAGAGACGAATGCAGTCATGATATTAGAATAGACCCTGGGGACTGACCGAACCCCTAGGGACCTAGTTTCTTATTCACAGCTTGAGATCCCCGACCTATAACCATATAGACAATCGCTGAGTATAAAGAAATGAATGCACATATGCTTCCAGGATGGCCTTGGGGACTGCCCCACCCTTGGAGACTTAACCCCTGGGTCATAACTTCGAAATGGTTAAGATCCCCACCCCAAAACTATATATACAATTGTTGGGCATAAAGAGACAAATGCAGTCATGATATTAGAATTGACCCCAGGGTTTGCCCCACCCTTGCAGACTTAACCCCTGGGTCATAACTTTGAAACGGTTGAGATCCCCACCCCAAAACTATATATACAAATGCTGGGCAAAAAGAGACAAATGCAGTCATGATATTAGAATTGATCCTGGGGTCTGGCCACCACCATAGGGACCTAGTTTCTGAGTCACAGATTGGAAACAGTTGAGATCCCCACCCCATAACCAAACATAAAATTGCTGGGCATGAAAAATCGAATACAGATATATATGCTACAAGGATTGGCCTTGGGGTCTGTCATATTCCCATGGATCTCATTTGGAGAATATTCTGTCATGATTGCGTAGATAATCCAGGTGAGCGATACAGGCCCTATGGGCCTCTTGTTTTTTGTGCAGAAGCTGTCCTAAATATGGTTGAATTTTAAACAAATTTGGTGTAAAAATTCATATTGCCAAGTGCGAGTCATTTGCTAAATTGAAGAGTATATATTTATGCACTAGCTGAGGCTACCAACTTCTGTTTGTTTATAATTGGCTTCTGTGCTTTCAGGTTATTTGCATATCTTTGCATAGTTAATTAATCCCAATTGGTTGTTGCACATTATTGGATGTATATGTATGTGACATTTGGAAGTGGAACCTGGCTATTTACCAGTCTGTACGACTGGAGCTATGACATTTATGAAGTAGTACCTGTACTTGCCTGTATCCTTGTGCAGGTTTGGAGACGGAATAAACCTTCTGTATCCCACTGCGTGTCACAAGAGGCGACTAAAGTGGGACCTCTGCGGGAGCAGGGGTTCTCTTCTGCTGCACACTTTGCTACACTTGGGATCTCGTTTTCTTTTCTAACTTCCCTACTGTTTCTTTTCGTCATTGTCTTCTTTATGACCTTAGCTGTTGCAAGGGCGTTAAACCCCACACACAAATACTGGCCGGTCTGCGCCCACAATGTATATGACTGACGTCCCACTTGTATTTTCCAGCCATTTGTGAGTGTATCCCACTGTCTCCAGTCCTGTCACACACACTGCTGTCTACTGGGGTCCTACCTCACTGGAGGAAACTACTGACCAAGGTCTCCGGTATGTAGGATTATATCTCAACACATGTTCAAGCTATCTATCAAATATTGATGTGATTTACAGTCCCATATTTTCATACAAGGTAACTCATAATTTAACTCTGTTCCAATATGGACCGAGGTTCATTTTTGTCAAAGGACTCCAGTTACATTTAACTATTACTTGCATTACTTTTCAAATTGTAAATCACTTAGGCAAAAGCAAATCGTACTACATGTATTGCCTGTAGTCTTATGGAGCCAGAACAACTCAATAATGGCAGGTTCTGTGCAGTATTGATGCTGCCAAAAATTACAAGTTTTATTATATCTAAGATCTTGGCCTGGAGATTATAACACACCGAGTCTCGTGTTTGTATTAATTTAGGTAAGGGTGTGCCAGACAGTGTTCAAGACAGCATATTAAAACTGATCACAGCCGCAGTGAAAACCAGCCCCAAAGTACGGGAAGTTGCCAGGACAACAGGGTACCCCGACATTTCACAGTAAGCTAATTTCTTATATTAAATCAACTGTAGATAAAAAGAAATATGCACTAAGGTAATTTACCCTTACAAAACAAATACTGATTTTATTTGTGTGACCCCATAACCTTTTCCAAACCAGCAGATGAGAAAATATACACTCGGTATCCATGTTTACTGTATAATCTACACTGTATTCTGATGGGGTGAATTGTCAAGAATGTTAACTTAAAACTATTATACGCTTTCAAATTTCTGGATAGATAGATTATATTTTATACTCAAAATTTCTAAAATAACTTTATCAAAACATTTTAAAACTAAGATACATGTCACTAATGTGAAAATTATTTCAGATTTTATTATTTTATATTTGCAGAACTTACAAGCACACAGAGCTACAAAGCTTGCTGACTTGAACCTGGTGAACGCTTCACATTGACAAGAAGGCACCATACATCATCACTTTATTTCATTTTATTGACTGCATCATTAAAGTGCATATTAAGTTTTACTCAAAGTGTTCTCTTATTTGTTAATGTATGTTTTACCCGAAATTTTATTCTGTGCATTTAGGAGTCTTAAGCTGAACAAATACCTCTTATTGTGCCTTTGACCTTTGGTTGAGCATGCAAAAAAGATTACTGATCATACATTTGAACATTATCACAAATAGTCGACAAGACAAAACAAGAGGCCCATCGGCCTAAACGGTCACCTGAGTCTACAGTATTTATTTTTGTTGTTGAAATATGTACCAATTTGAGTAAAAAATAATATAATGTTAACTTAACTTTGTCAGGACCATGATTCGATCATTCCTACAAAGTTTCAGTTCAATCGGCCAAGTAGAACTTTACTTTAAGTTTGAAATAGTTTTTCAAAATGGCAGCCGTGGTGGCCATATTGGATTTCTGATCGACCCGAAAAATAACAACACTTTGTCAGGACCATGAGTCGATCATTCCTACCAACTTTCAGTTCAATCGGTCCAGCAGAACTTGACTTTAAGTTTGAAATAGGTTTTCAAAATGGCGGCCGTGGCGGCCATATTGGATTTCTGATCGACCCGAAAAATAACAACACTTTGTCAGGACCATGAGGCGATCATTCCTACCAACTTTCAGTTCAATCGGTCCAGCAGAACTTGACTTTAAGTTTGAAATAGGTTTTCAAAATGGCGGCCGTGGCGGCCATATTGGATTTCTGATCGACCCGAAAAATAACAACACTTTGTCAGGACCATGAGGCGATCATTCCTACCAACTTTCAGTTCAATCGGTCCAGCAGAACTTGACTTTAAGTTTGAAATAGGTTTTCAAAATGGCGGCCGTGGCGGCCATATTGGATTTCTGATCGACCCGAAAAATAACAACACTTTGTCAGGACCATGAGGCGATCATTCCTACCAACTTTCAGTTCAATCGGTCCAGCAGAACTTGACTTTAAGTTTGAAATAGGTTTTCAAAATGGCGGCCGTGGCGGCCATATTGGATTTCTGATCGACCCGAAAAATAACAACACTTTGTCAGGACCATGAGGCGATCATTCCTACCAACTTTCAGTTCAATCGGCCCAGCAGAACTTGACTTTAAGTTTGAAATGTAAAATGTTAACGGACGACGGACGACGACGGACGAAAACGGATAGCAATAGGTCACTTGAGCTAAAGCTCAGGTGACCTATTAAATCCTTTTGTCCACCACAGTGACCTGGACCTTTCAAACCCCCCTATAAGACATCTGATACATATCGCAGTGTATGACCATATCAAATTTCCAAAAGATTACTTTTGGATTCCGAGATGAGAACAGTACCCCACAATCATGTTTTAGTAACAGTGACATTAACCTTGACCTTAGACATTTTGAATCCCCTAATGCACATCTACATTTCGCATTGTATCAGCAGATCAATTTTTCAGAAAGATTAGAGTTTCAGATTCTGAGATAATGTCCGGAGACCAAAATGTTGACAGACAGACAGACAGATGAACACTGCGATTACTATCTCTGATGCAGGGCCCTTGTAATAAATTGTCATAGAGATTAAGAGTGGCACATGAAATGAACTTGTTAAATCATCAGGCATATAATATGCCATGGAGTTGCGTGTGTTGATCTGTCATCTTCTACTTTACCAACTTCTACAGAACTAGGATTCTTGGACTTTATACCTGGTATTTCATCTGTATCTTACAGAACTAGGATTCTTGGACTTTATACCTGGTATTTCATCTGTATCTTGCTGTAGTGAAGATTTATAAAGAATCCTGAAACTTTTTGTCCGGACAACTCCTTCTAAAGTTATGGATCGATTTTAACGAAAGGTTCCAGATATTTGCAAGTATGTTTTGGCATTGGGAGGGAGTACAGGAAGTATTTAATAGGTGACCTTTATACTTAAATAAGTATACAGCTCAGCCAATAAAGGAATCGTTTTTGCTGGGAGATTATGCATTGCTTTTCAATGCTTTATTCTGTAACTTCAAGGTTTTGAAACTAGGCAGTCTTCCTACTGTTTATTGATTCTGAACCATGGACTTATACCCGGTGAAATACAGTTAAAGAACAATCACAACCTGTTTATACAGGCATTTATCAAGAGTAATATTAACCGTTGTGGTATATTTTTTCTGTTCTCTTGAACAAGCACATGTACAGGTACCAAGAGGTTTGCAACAGTCATTGAGGACATATTCTATGCTTAATTTTCTGATCCGTCTCAAATTGGAGCAAGGGAATCGAGCATACCAAGTTTCATTATGATCCCTTCATTTTTTTCCCCAAATATTAATGCAAATACAACTAGAGACTAAAGGGATCCTTTCAGTATATATTTCAATGACTAGTGCTAGCTGACATACCTGGGTAAAACTTGTTGCTTTTCCCTTTCATGACTAACTTTTACTCAAAACAGAACAAGACGTCTATTTTGTTTTCACATATTTTTTCTTTTTAATAAATTTGTAATAGATTAACAGCTCAATTGAATTTATTTCTCTCTTTTAAGTTCATTTTGTAATAGCATTTGGCAAGTGTCCATTATCAGTAGTTACAGGAAAGACGCATCATAGAGGCATTTAACCCTAGTTCAGAGGCCCCTTTTCAAAGAAAACTCGGACAAATCGCGCAATACAGTTACTCACAATCCAGTGATCTATGATGAAAGCCCTAGTCCAAGATGGCCTTTCTAAATCACACTTACAGTACATTTACTTGTAGTACAATGACCTATTAATGTGGCCAATTCTCCATGCTACTCTCTGAATCACACTAACAATACATTTACTTGTAGTCCAATGACCTATTAATGAGGCCAATTCTCCATGCTACTCTCTGAATCACACTTACAATACATTTACTTGTAGTCCAATGACATATTGATGAGGCCAATTCTCCATGCTACTCTCTGAATCACACTTACAATACATTTACTTGTAGTCCAATGACCTATTAATGTGGCCAATTCTCCATGCTACTCTCTGAATCACACTTACAATACATTTACTTGTAGTCCAATGACCTATTGATGAGGCCAATTCTCCATGCTACTCTCTGAATCACACTTACAATATATTTACTTATAGTTCAGTAACCTCTGACTGAGGCCTCTGCTCCAAGATGACATCTGAATCACACAAGACATTTACTCACAGCGCTGTTTCCTAAGAAGAAGGCCACACTCCAAGATAACTCACTTAATCACACTTACAATACATTTACTTGCAGTCCAGTAACCTCTGACTGAGGCCTCTGCTCCAAGATGACATCTGAATCACACAAGACATTTACTCACAGCGCTGTTACCTAAGAAGAAGGCCACACTCCAAGATTACTCACTTAATCACACTTAAAATACATTTACTTGCAGTCCAGTAACCTCTGACTGAGGCCTCTGCTCCAAGATGACATCTGAATCACACAGATATTTACTCACAGCGCTGTTACCTAAGAAGAAGGCCACACTCCAAGATTACTCACTTAATCACAATTACAATTCATTTATTCATAATTTAGAGACACAAGATGGCGGCCTCTGCTCTAAAACATTTCACCTAAATCACACTCACTAGACATTCACACAAAGTCCAGTTTAGAAATGACAATTGTTGTCATTCTTAGTAGTCATTTACAAATAAATATTAACTGTTACCCAACTGGACAGTTCATGAAGTTTTACCGGTAATTAAAACAATTATTGACTATATAACCACTTGACAAAAAGCACAATTTTAACATGTGCCCAAAACCAGTTATTAGGTTTCCATGGACACATTGGCCTCCTCCATAACAATGCTTGTCTGTATGGTCTCGACCTCCTCGGGGATGGTCTGCACCTCAACCAATGAGGCCTGGTCCAGCTGGTCAAACTCGGTTCCATCAGGGGTCACATACTGGATCACATACTGCTGGTTACCATCCAGTCCAGCCCCTCCCTCGGTCAGCAGCACCTCCTCACCCTCCTGCTGGACGATGATGGTCTCTGGATTGACCGACACCATCTGGCCATCTTCTCCCTGGACGGTAAATGGCTGGCTTCCCTGGGTGAAAATAGTAAAAGTTGAGAGTGATAGATCGTAATGTCCATCAGTAGCAGTAGCATTCAATAACCTCCTGCTAAAAGCAGAAAATGTCTCGGCCAATCAGAGACCTGGGCGTCCTTCACTTATATATTCTTGAAGTGAGGACACTAAGGTAGAATCTCATGGATTTTTCAATTGACACAAAAAGTAACAACACTTCGTCGGGACATTACTGAAACATTTGTGCTTCATTTGAGGTCAATCACTTCTATGGTTATTTAAAAGAAGTCAAAAATGTAAAATTGTCAACAGATGAAACAGGTCATCAAAGACTGCGATACCAGTGCTCAAATGATCGATTATGTGAGCTAATAATATGTAACAAGGGATCTCCACACACACACTATTAATTCATGTATGCATGGCAGTGTTCTCCCCAGAATGTTTTGAAAGAAGCATGGTATTTCAATATTTCTGTTAAAGCAGCACTCTATGTGAAATCAAAGCAGCATGGTAACTTTAGATTTACTATGAATATATAGCAGAGAAGACCTAGGATAGCAGCATGGCAAGAAATTATAGGAGCATGTTGCCATGCTGCAAAAACAGCCTGGGGAGAACACTGCATAGAGATCTATGATAATCCATTGGAAAGTAAAATCACTTGAGCAATTACTAAGACTCTCTTAAACAGAAATGGTAGCCTTGACCTTTATCAAACGTTATTCATTCAAGGTAATATAACTAGTAATACCTTTAAATCACCCGTGTGAATAGTTTCTTATTGTAGGTATAATAATTACCTGTTGAGACATGTCAATGATCTGCTGTAATAAACTGACTGCAGATTGTGTCTTCTCGTCCAAATCATTGGTCTCCACTGTGATTTAAAAATATATTACAATACAATTATTTCCATAATAATATATTTACATATATATATATGTACTCCATTTAACTGTAGATTCTGCTTTGAAGGATAAGATTTCAAACTTTGATGTTATTGTTTTACTTGCATGATGAAAAAATTGACTGATAGGAGAGGAATCGTATTTCAATAGAGTCATAATAGTTTGAATCCAGAAATCCCAGTTTCATTGAAGGACATAAAATGTATCTGAATGTACAGAATCAAAGCACAGAACCATAAATGCCATACTTGTTTGACTAGGCTCTATGACATCGGTTGTTGTCTCCCCTTCTGATATCTGCTCTACAATGGTAGAAGCAAGAGCCTCATCTGTACATTGAAGCACCTGAAAAAATTACAAGAATAATGCACCTGTAATGATTGAGCTAACATGATAAGAAGGGTATGATTGCAAATACAATATACTGTCTACCGGGAATTGTTCACTGCAGTTTAATATTTTGTCTTTTTCACCTTCCACAATATGGGCAAATTTATAATGACAACAAATATTAGTACACAGTTTAACTTGTATAAGAATTATATGTGAAAAGCGAAATTAAAACTGGGTGAAAATAGATTTTACTAGTGAATGTTGAATATCTGACTAGGCGAAATTGTCCCCGTATACAGAATATTGCTTAGCTTGAGATATGAATGTAAAGTAAGATATTCTTCATTTCCTTACATTCATCTCTAAAAACAAAATATTCTGTCTGTAACACAACAGTCTTATGCCTTACATCATGGATTCTATCATCTAATATTATAATGCCCTTTTAATTGTCCTATGCTGACCATCACCTTTTGTCGGGTCTATATTATTACAATACGACATTAAGTTTTCTGCCCTATAACATTACATCTGCTGCCCTTCTTTCTTACCTGGACCTCGCTGAGTGGGACCTTGTCTAGCCCCTGTATCTGCTGCACCTGGAGGTGATGTCGAATCTTGAGGTGACGTTTGAGATCGCTCATGTTACCAAAGAGGTAGTCACAGCTGAGGCAGCGGTAAGCCTGGGAGTCGACCATCACTACCCGCTTGTCCACCTCCACTCCACTGGTGTTGGGGTACTCAAAAGTCTCACCCTTGTGGTGGCGTGTGTAATGGATCTTCATGTAGCCCACAGTGTTGGCAGAAAACTCGCAGTGCATACACATGAACCGCTTCACCACGTCATGTGTCTGGAGGTGGCGCTTCAGGTGACTTCTCTGTGTGGCCTCATATGGACACCTGTGGAATGGTGATACAGTACAATATACACTCACACAGTTGCATTTATAATAAATTTCCAATACACCAGGTCTTAATGTTAAGAAGGATTGTATGTGTACAGTAGATATTTGTACCCCAAGAAGAATGTAAAATATTCTGAGAAACTCAACTCTTTTTTTATTCAGCTTCCAATTTCAATTATAACAGTTTTTCTTGGCAATAAGTCCATCAGATTTTTGCAAGTATAAAAACATGGTTCAGCTACAGTTGTAATTTTTTACGGGTACAAAAATTAACAAATTTCCATCCAGAACGGATTTGTGTGTTTAATGCTCATACAACTGACAGTTTTAAGAATCGTGTCTTAATCAAATTGATACTTTCTTCATATTTTTCACTCATTTTTCACATGAAGATTGAGGACAATGATAACTCAAACCTTCAGCTTTATATCTTTCTTCTTAAAAGTATAAATCAATGTATTTGAAATCAGATTGTTTAATATTTCAAAAATTAAATCCTCATAAAAGTTAGCCTCTATACAGTGTAAAGTTCTTATTAAATAAAATGTTCTACAATACAAAAATACGTTTTTAAAGACTGCTCAGTTTTTACCTGTCACATTTGAAAAGTTTGCCGTCCTTGTGAGATCTGACATGCCACCGTAGTGCTGTCTGGGACTTGTAGGCCTTGCCGCATTCTGAGCAGGAGTAGGGCTTCTCCTCCGTGTGCCGCAGCATGTGGGCCTGAAGATTGTTTTTACTGCGACAGGAGTATGTACACAGCGGGCACTTGTATGGCTTGATGCCCTCGTGTATCCATATGTGTTTCTGAAGCTCTGAGTTGGCTCGTATAAACACCTTATCACAGTATGGACACTTGTATGACCTCCGACCTTGAAGCAAATGACATTACAATTATTGACTGGTGTACTGATCATATAATTCTGAATGTGACATTCTGTTTTATCATAGCAAACACTTAATTAGTAGTTTCTCGTGGATGCATAACATTCCGCCAGATTGAATGGACAATATATACAGTGATATATTCAGCAGTTCTTATCGTACATGTAATTATGACAAAAGGGAATATTTTACAATTGTGACAAGAAGTACACAAATTGTCCATCATACATATCAAGAAATGTCATAAATTACTGAAGCATTATCTACAGAATGAATCAAAATTAAAAGAAAATAGGAATGCTATAAGTGACCAGTGTTAACATTGATTAAAATTTCTCCACAACTCAGCATTTTGTTGTGCTATATATAAAAAAAGTTTTGCCATGTGACACTGACATGACAGCTAGACTTTTCAACCTACCCATCTTTCCCTGTGTGCGGTGTTTGAACTCCTTGTAGCCGGTGACTTTAAGCTGCTCATCTAAGTTTAGATCAGTGTGGCCATCGCTGAAGTGCGCCTTCAATTTCTTCATGCTACAAACACAACAATTATTTATTTAATCTGACAACATATAATTTTCAAACTGATGCAGTGACCAGTCTTTCTTTCTCAAAATACAACTGAAGTTTCATCAGTAAGTCTGTATATGCTATTATACTTTCATCATTATATTTCTATTACAAAGCTAAATTCCCAAGAAATGTTAACTTACTCCTGTTACCTGGTCTGCCATATACCGTTATACTGAATACTAAATTTAGCTTCCATATGAACATCAAATAACTGTGAACAAAAAACCTTCTAGAGCGATAACCTATAGCTTTCAATATATTCCGTCTTTTCGTATTGCAGAGTTATCTGCTCTTGTGAGCAGATATTGATTGTAAGTCATTTGTTTGTGAGAGTAACATCATTAATTTTTGAGAAAAACGACGTAATTTTCTCACACAAATTATGATGTAACAATCAATACCTGCTCACAGGAGCAGATAACTCTGCAATGCGAAAAGACGGAATACTTCCAACTAGCCTTATACAACACCCTTTAGAGCACCTACTGTTAAAATGATGCTGGACAGCCCACTTACTTCTCAAACTTGGATTTACAGGTGGGACACTCTATACCCATGGCTTCGTGCAGACCTCTGTGTTTCATGGTGTGGTTCCATAGCTGTGAGCGACTGTTGGCCACAAACTCAAAGTTACAGTCTTTACATGGGAAGGTCAGCTTCTCGTGTTCCTTCTCCTTGTGACGACTTAGGTTCTCCTTAGTCAGGCCCCGGTACCCACAGATACTACAGGGGAACGGCTTGTCTCCTTAGATCATAGCAACAAACAATTTTTACTAGCTGTTACATTGTAAAACTTTCTGTAGATAGTATCTGACTTTTTATTTCAAAACAGCAGGAATCGCTACTGATCCTTATCATGTTTACTGTAAATACAGACATGGACAGATAATCATTACACCAAAGATACCTTGGAGATAGATTTTAACATCCGACAACAGTTGCCCAAGTCGACAAAAGTCAAATCCTATCTACCAGTATACCAGGGTTCTCACACCCTAGATACTATTGTGTCATTAGTAGTCTCTGACTAAAATATAGACGTCATCAACAGGACTAGTGAGTTTACCCAGACAGGGTAGGAAAGGAATGCTGTAGTTCTAATGTCAGCTCAATTGAACTTCAATAAAAGAATCCATCAGGGATCCACATACCAGACAATATTATACTAGTATTAAAGGAACCAGTAAGTTTTATTGGGATAATCGGGATTATGGAAGGCCGGTACACAATACCTAATGCAGAATGCAAAATGCTAATTGTCAAATGCCAAATACTTAATGCCATTAGAATTTAGCATTACTCATTTGGCAATTGGTAATAAACATTAAGGCATTTGACAATAGCATTTTGCATACCACATTTGGCATTCAGGCATTTTCCTGCTAACAAGTTTTGACTTCACACAACCTAGCATACACAAATTGAGACAAAAAGAGACAGCTGATTTATGTTGTGGCTGTGTGAGGTGTTCTCACCTGTATGTGTCCGGAGATGAGTGTCGAAGTCTACCTTGTTGTAATAAAGCTTTCCACAGTATTCACACTCCTCCGTACCGAATGTCTCCCTCATCTTGTGGAAGATGTCCATAGTCATCATGTGATAGCCCATACGCTGTATGAGATCCTTACTGGCTATCTTACCACCAGGTCCTTCTGTTCCTTCTGTTCCATCTGTTCCATCTATATTACCTAGCTCCTCCAGCTGACTTTCGTCCAGTTCATCGTCTTCCTCATCCAGCTCTTCCTCCCCATCTAAAGTGCTCGTTTCTCCATTGTCTGTCTCTGCGACAACATCACCATCAGCTGGGGAGGCACCTATCTCTGGAACAGCATCAATATCAGCCGGAGAAGATGCCGTCTCTCGAACAACAACATCAACATCAGCCGGGGAAGATGCCGTCTCTGGAACAACATCATCAACATCAGCTGGAGTGGCTTCTGTCTCCATACTTTCCTCAAGTGTAGTGACCTCTTTATCATTGACCTCTGCGTTGTCTACATTTTTACTGTTATCTTCTAAAGTTTCAGTGTTATCCACTGATTTACCTAAAATATAAGACAACATATATTGATATATGTATTACAATACCAGCTTTAGGCTGATGACAAAACAAACGAATCTTAACAGACAAATCTTACATTACATTACTGTATACATACAACATTGAGGAGAACTTTTATTTTAATAAACTGTTATTTATAATATTTTAAACTAGAAAATGTCTGTAAGACACAAATGCCCCGCTGCCATGTGAAATTAGTTTCAGTGTTCTATAAAAAGTTACAACCACTTTGATCTTGATACCCTGAAACATGCACACACACAAGTTACTACACTTAAAGTTGATTTTAATATTCATATGTTTTTTCTGTATGTTATTACCATCTCCATAATATATTGAATGAAGTTGGTAAGCGTTTAAACTAATGTGTAAAATAAGTGAAACAGCTGAACTTTCAAGTATTTGTAGTATTTGTCATCAACATAACTGAAGCGAACTATGTTACTAACAAAAATAGCAAAATGGCATCCCATGCTACCATCAACAGATATAATATATATCACATCAACTTCACAAGAGAAGATTTCCTTTTTTTTATTCAACTTCATGTTGGCCATTAAATCCCATTTATGCTTTTCACAAGCAGAAAACTTTAATATGTTTAGTGCTTTCCCTTTATCCACCTGCACAGTATCAAATTTTGTAGTACATGGATTAGTTCATAACTAATAAATAACTAAATTCAACCAACTTTTGAGTTTTAGTGACTACTAGTACAGATGTATATTTGTAAGTTTACCTGTAGCACAATCAACAAGTAAAGACTCGTGTTCCGACATGGAGTTGTGGTCCCCCTGGCCTGCACAGTCAGTTTCCCCGGCCTGTTCCTGTGAGTTTGGTATTGCTACAGACGCTATGTCCTCTGTCACAACCCTGGAACCCCTGTTTACATCACCTGCACCAATCTTGTCTCCAGACTTGTCCGTACACATTACACCAAGCTCAGCATTTAGCTTAGCTTCTATTTTCATCACAGAGCTAGAAAGTTCTGGGGGTAGGTTGATGAACTCTTTCATCTCAAGAAGTTCGTCAGGCTCAGGGAGATACAGACTGTAATTGATACACTGCTCAAATAGCTCCTCCCACTTGTTGGACAAATCAACCTTGAGATGGACACTGGTCAAGTGGTCAATCAATCGAACTGTACTTAGGAACTTGATGTGACACTTGACACATCGGTAGATGACTCTGTGTTTCTGGTAGTGCTTGTCCAAGTAAACCTTACGGCTGGCAGTGTAGTCACACAACTCACAGTGTTGTATGCTCGGAATGTCTTTGATGTCATGTACAAACAGATGCCTGTCACGATCAACCTTTTTCTTGAACTTACGATTACAGACGTGACACTGGTGGATGACGGTTGAGCCCTTGGTAGGGTTCTGGAGGAAGGTGGCTAGGTATTCGCGTCCCCGGATTGAGCTGCTGTGGTATTTCCTGATGTGGTTAACCATGGATTTTAAGGTTTTATACGACTTCTTACAAATATCACATTTTTCCTTATTCTTTTTGTGTGTGGCCACATGCTCCAGCAAATGACTTTTGTTGACTGACTTGAAAGAACAATCATTACACTTATAGTACTGGCCTGTATGTTTCCTCATGTGTGTGTACAGGTTACCTGTAACAGAGACGACTATCAATCAAAAACACTGTTCACATACCTGGTTCTTTTGATATATTTATATATCTATATCTCACAGGCTCAATAAAAATCTTAACTGAACTCTAAATGTTCATTTTTAAACAGAGCAATTAAATATTTTTCAAATAAATTTTAGGCTCTTTTCCGTATTCGATTCAACCATTTCAACCAGCAGAACCTGAAAAGAAAACGACAGGCTCAGATCTGAACTGAATCAGCAATGAATACTTCTGTGTCACTTAAGCCGTTTCAACTGGATACTCGAATGCAACCTTACACCGATTTGTAAATGTATTTTTGACTAAAACCACGTTTATTTTACAAACCTGGGTCATATTCAACAATGATAAACCAACACGAACCTTTCGAGTTGGATGCATATCGACACTTTGGACACTTGAAGGGCTTAAGGTCTGTATGGATCAGACAGTGTAATCTCATGTGTGACAGAGTCTTAAAAATCTTCTCACAGACACAGCAGGAGAACAGTGATAGGGAAGTGGTCACCATCCGCGTTGTCATGGGAGCTTTCTCGTTCAGGTCCTGAGCTATAGCATGCTGTTTAAACATGGAGTCCACTCCACTCAGATCTACATTCATTTGCTGTTCAAATTTCAGCTTCTCTTCCTCCGATGTGAATATTGGCAGGTCTGTGATAAAATCAGAAGGTTTCTCTGCGCGAGTGTTGCCCACGTCTGGGTCGGCCAGCACCTGAACCCCATCTGTACTTTCTGGCTTGTCCCAGTCATCCTCCTTCGCCTTTTTCTGGTGCTCCTTTACCTTGAAGTCAGAGTCCCCGTCCAAGTTGTCTTCCTCTTCAACATCAGACGGATGATCTTCCTCTAGATGATATACATGATCATCCTTTGCCTCCAGGTCCTCTTCAACTTCATCTGCATCTGAAATATCAAAAAGTCATACTAAAATATTTTACTTTTCTTTCTCTCTTAATTGTACCAACCTACCTCTTGACAATCAAATAGGATTATGTAGTGTCTATTATCTTGCGACATCATGTTCTAGAGGAGCATTTTTTTGTTTTCCAGTTACTTGACACAATTATACAAGGCTAATGATAGTGAAATAAATTATTCCATTCGATAGTGGATTTACACAAACATTGTATTTTGGGGGATTTCCACAAATTTTGTAATTGATGGGGATTTACACAAACACAGAAAATGGTGAATTTACCGTTTTTTTAATAATTTATTCATAACATCATGAGCTTCTATTTAAATCAAAATAACATGCAAAGTATTCACCAACTTTAATACACAGTTACTGACTTAAAATATTTCAAGCAACAGAAAGTTACCAGTCTCATCTTAAACAAATTTGTCTTCATGATAAAACAGTGAATGTTGAAAATAGCTGTGGTACCTAGTTCAAGGTCCATGACCTGTTTCCTGGTAAGGTCCACATAGTCGGTCGTCCCCATACATTTGTGTGTGTTAAAGAATCTCTCTTTAGTAAATGACCGCTTACAGCTAGAGCACACAAACCGGCCGTCAGACCCTGTAAAGTAAATCATCAGTACTCATTCTGTATACATCTATATAAATTTATTATCTTGTCAATTCCTTCAATATAAAATGTGTGTAGGTCATTATTTATTTCAATAACAATGGTTAAATATATTGTAGCTTTGACTCAATTTATTATACCATTACTAAAAATAATACAACAATTGTTACTTTGACAAAAAATAGTGTATGAACTGTTAAATGATCAGCCATGAATGAAAATGCCAGTTTAAGTTACCTATATCTGGTTTTGAAGGTTTTGCCGGAGGTTTATTTCCAGCTTGCTTACGAGCTGACCCTTTTTGCTTTGGTCTTCCTCTTTTCTTTCCTACCGATGACAAAAAAAGTGATGGCATGCAATATAATCCAGTTTGTACATGTCGAGTACACCGCAGGTCTCCTAAAACCTCAGCACAGTCAACCATATATACCCTATGTTATAACAAGCAATCTGCAGTGACTATAAAATAAAATATTTCTAAAATTCCATGGATAAGTGCTTCAGCATACTGCATTTCTGCTTGAGTTATAGCTGAAATGCAACAATGTCTACTTAAATACATATCATTTGTTACATGGTACACTTTGGAATGGTTGAATGATTTCAATGAATGAGATTGGTAGTTTGATTTACAATTCTCAACATTTGTTACAACATTTTGTAGATAGTTGTAAACTAAGGAATGGTTAAATGATTTCCTTAAATGTTTAATTTAAAGACTAATAGAATCGCTCACCCCCTTTAAGATGAGATTGGGGAATTTTAACCCTCGGGGAAAGATTCTTTTTCTCTTACCCTGTTCTCCCATTGTGTATAGTAAACATAATGTAATGTTAACGTCACAGGCTAAATTCAAGGTTGATGTGTGATGCTGATGGATTTTTGACATGATGTCATTGTACTGTTGACGTGATGTCATACCATTGTTATTTATGAATACAGGAATCCCCCCGTCTCAACCCTCGGGTGAGACAAGGATATATATCTCACACCGGTAAAAGTGTGGATACACCTGTCCAGGATAAGAGAGACATGTATCCCTACCTGGTGCTGGGGTCTGAGGCAGGTTAGGTACAGGGCTAAAGGTGGTCTGTCCGTCCTCAGCAGTAGAGAAGGTGCCCTGCATGGTGATGGTCTGGGATATGTCGGTGGCCTCCCCCGATCCACCCTGGATGATGATCACCGTCTGAGGTTCGGAACCATCTGATGGCTCGGTACATGTCATCATGGCATTGTTCAACGACTCTGTAAACCAAATATTTTAATACTTAACTCATTCACCCCTGAAATTTTACAATCAGCTATTCCAACCTTTGAATTGGAAGAATTCAAATGTGTCTTCCGGGGTGAATGAGTTAAGTTATTGCTGATAGCTACAATACCAAGAAGTGCAGAACCATTCATTCACAATGAAATATATTTTCTGGCCCCAATATTACAAACATGTTGATTTAGCTTACAGGTGAAAGTATATGGAAGGGTCTGTGAACAATCTTTAAACCCAGTCCACACTGAGAATTTTTACAATGACATCAAAATCCCAAGCCTTAACGTCACGGGTACATCACGATCTAATTAATTGTATAGTTATAAGTGTTGTGTGTTGTGTGCTGTACGTTTGTACATTAGGGTGTGAGTTTGTAAGAAAGTGTGCAAGTGTGTGTGAGAGTATAAATAAAACTAGTAATATATATACTGCACTAGTTCGCAGTTGGCTGTTTTTCGTGAGACGGAACGTATCCTCTAGGGTCCCGCCTGCACGGCTCAGCCTTACTCGTAAATTAGAGACTACTATAATATATGCATGATTTTACCGGACCTTGACAGTCTCGGAAGGTAACTATAACTTGTATAATGAAATGTAGTTGTAAATTGGAATATTTAATTTGAATTATATGAATTAAATATTAAACTTGTCAGACATAGGTATTTTATACGGCAACGTACTAATTCTAGGCCATATTTGTATTGTAGGGATTTTTGTATGAATCTACATGCTTCTCCTGTCAATAAATAAAATTTGACTCAAACCAACAGGATGTGAGGTTTTGTTAAGCCCTGTGACACTTAATTAATTACCTGGTAACTTATATTTACTGTAAGTATTGTGTCCGTTTGGTAGAAGAAGAATGTGATTATTCATCATAGTTTCTTGACATTGTATACGTGTACTTTTATACAATTTTGTAGTGAATTCTAATTGTTACAATAATAATTCTGAAAAGATTGAACAGAATAATTTATATGTACGGGGTTATTGACCTATACTGACTAATATTAACAGGGACAGATTGTGTACCAACAAAATATTGGTAAATCATACAGATCAACATATAACATTTATAACTGACAGATCAACATATAACATTTATAACTGACATCAGGGATTAAAGTGGACAAGGACCAAGGCCTATATGCACATACTGAAATTGATTTATAGGAGCTGATGACCTATCACAATAATTGAAAAAATCTAAAAATGGCTTAAAGCTTTAAGAATCAACCTTCCTAATCAGTGAACCGCAAATCACTGGATGACAATTTTTGATGATGTGTCGACGTTATACTGACCGACATTGAGAGGTATGATAGTCTCTGTGGTGCCGTCTGTGGTTTCTGTAAAGATCTCAGTGTCGTTGTTGACAGGTTCACAAGGCTCCTTCTTGTGCTGCACAAAGTTGTCAATGTCACTGAAGTTTGCATGGCAGGAACCACAGATAAACATGTCCGCCGGCATGGCTGCTGTAGGGAAGTGTCAGGGCCAAAGAGCTACTATAGAGATGTATCTGTACAACACCCAGCAGGTACGTATCAATGATCTGTCAACAGGCAATAAAAAGAAAACATTGATTATTCTGCTTCACATCTGACAGAAGGAATTTAAGGAACATGCATAACCAGCATTTCATAAAATTGACTTCTATATGTACATGTATCTATTGTAACCTTTAGTTTATCCTGAAAGAAAAAAAAAATATCGCTGGACTAAAACAAAACATTACAGTTAACTTATTAAATTATACTGGGTGGTTTGCATGTTTGGCAAATAATTTCAAACCAAGCCATCTATAAACTTTTCAGATTTAAGAAAGAACTAAACATAAAAATACTTTCCCAGATTCAATTTCAAACCATGTTATTTAGTTGTAAACACTAAAACTTTAAGTCATATATCTAATTCCAAAACACAACAGTAACAATGCACATTTTTTTTATATCCCCTGCAGATACAGTATTTATACAATTTAATGTATATAAATATCTTAAGTAATAACCACAGTATATGGTCCAATGTAGGCACTGTATCTGAAAAAGCAATGTTCTTAGAATGGATGTGTATTACTTAAATAGATACACGCCTTTGACTGTTAGTTTGAAGCATTTATCCGGGAACAAGGTGGTGTGATTAATTTGTTCCACCAATATATGCTTTGTACTTGTATGAAATAACTTTTCACATGTTCCTGAATCAATTAAAGAGTTGAATATCTTGTCCCATTTAAGGCTAAAAGTCTATTTTTGATCAAGCATTTGCATTAGTCTCACGGGAAAAAAAAAATTAATCCATTAAGAACAGTAAAACGCGCCTCATCAAACAAGTAAGTTTATGAAAATATCCGACAATATTGAAAACATTATTCTAGTTTCTTTATTTCAAAAAAGTTTTGACAATTTCTGACAAATTTTTTAGTCATTTATTTAAATAGATATGTATTTGAACAAACATTTGTCCATGCTTAGAAGTAGGAAATGTGATAGGGTATTTATGATGTCCAAGGATTTTGTTTCATTTCTGTTTTTTTAATATAATTTCAATTGAGATTTCATCATGGGCATTTTATATTAAAGGGGTATTGAAATGAAATTTGTTCAAAATGCTTCAAACTAAATAAGTTTTGATTACAAATAACATACAATTCATTTGCATTGCGAATAAAAATGCTGCATTATAAACTTTTCCACTTCGGGTATCATTCCAATTTTGGTACATTCATCCTTATTAATAAGTCCTAAATGTTTTAATTATTTCAGAGACGTAATATACGATAGACGTCTCTCAATCTCATTATTTTGATGGTTAAATTTTTTTCAGTAATAAGTGCAGATGTATTTCTATATATTGTTGAAAATATTAATAATAAACAATTCGATATCAATTCCTTTTCATCTGAAACTGCTATACTTTATGGGGTCAAACACCATTAAGAATAAACGCACCAAATATGGAGATGAACTCCTGAATTACCCTGTATGTGGCCCCCTATTTATTTTCCTGTCCTACTCGAAATGTCATGTTGGGGAATGACATTCCTCGTCTATCAATGAATCGGTTTTTGATAATAGTTTGATGCAATTTAGCCTTTTCAATATCACTGAATTTTATCTTCAGATATAATAGCTCTAAGTTCGAAACAGTGCTCCCGTACACAATTCTTGAAACTGACTCATTTGGCATTGAAAAAGCTAGCAACTTATTTTGGGATGAAGAGAAATCAACATTTCCAAAATAACAACAATTGATAAATATGGCTTCATTTTTAGAATATTTGATCATAACGTGCAATGTTATTGGTAAAAACTGGCTTAACCTGATGTTTTGTCTTCAATACTCATTTTTCTTCTTCTTTGCGGCTGACAAATGGCTGCCAAATATAATAACAGGTCACGTGACAAGAAGGCGGTGTGTTTTATTCTAAATCTTAGTTGAACATGCGAAAATAAAGACCAAATATTTTTGCTCCTATGTATAATCTAATGATTTTAATTAAAATATATATTCTTTTCTGATATGCTCTTTATCTTTTTTTTGAAAGACATTCTAAATATTAGTTTCCTGTATATGTGAATAACGATTGGTAGTATGCGTATTAGAACGCGCCTCAATAAATGTCACATGACCCCGTAGTTTTGGACAAAATGGCCGGAATAAAGCGTCAACCCGCTGGCTCAACGGGTTCTCAAAAATTCAGTGATCCACGAAAAATGCGAGGACAAGGTAAAAAGCAGCTACCTGCCCCTACACATGTTGGACATTTTGTCATGATAGTTATCATGACGATTTGCAAAAAAATACTGTTGGCCGATACCGCTGTAAAAATCGGCGTCTACTTGATTGGGGTGATGGCTGGCTCAATTTTGGCGGATGTCGTGGCATTGCAAAGATCGTATTTCTCCGATTCACAAAATATATTCAACCAATTCTTCGTGAAATTAGGATGGGGATGGACGCTGACATCACTCTCAGTATTCACAGGTATGACTAGCTTCGTATACACTTTGGGTAAATGGCCGCAGGTCAAATTACATTTCCTTCGACTTGGTCTAGCAACGTTTTGGTGGTATGCGGTGACGTCAGTTTTCAATTACGTGGAGTCTGTTGTAGGGATTTGTACAGAACCTACTTATCCCACAAGATTTTCTTGTAATAAGGCTGGACAGTCCTGGCTGGGCTTTGATATATCTGGACATGTGTTCCTGTTGATTCACAATTTATTGACAATATCTGAAGAAGTGAAGTTTTTCAAAGATTGGTCAAAGTTAGAGAACATTCTCGAAGAGGAAAATCTTGCAAGCCAGAAAGATGTAAAGGAGAGTGACATACGGACCACCAAACAAGCATATAAGGAACTGACTCCGTACATAAAAATAAATGTTATGATTCTTGCTGCCCTTACTGTGTTATGGGAATTCATGCTCATAATCAGCACTATTTACCGGTTTCACACACTTTCTCAAAAAGTATCAGCAGCTTTTATTGCAGTGGGATGCTGGTTTATCAGCTATAGAATGGTTATACCCTCAAATTGTGGTATTGTACATTCTGGATCTAGTCCCTTAAGATTCACCAAGTGTAACTAAAACTATTTATCTCCACTACTGTATAAACCTACAGGATTTGTATTTGAATTGAATGCATCCGCATAAAATCCATGACATGTGTTCTTTGTGGCATATTCACCCTGTCCTACAGAAGTGTATATGTACTGCATTCAAGAATTCCACACACTGCAGTATATAACTTATCAAGGGTTCTATTAGGATATAAATATCATATCATTTTTGAACTATTATAACAATGATATGATTTTGTTCAAACTTACATGTAATTTTGTTTTGTGTTTTTTTAGGTGTTTTAATTCCTGTTTTGATCTTTGTAAATTTTTGTTGCATTTCTGATTTTGCCTTTAGACTTTATTGTATCACTTATTGAAACACATGTCATCATGGAGATACCATATTTACTTCACTTTATATTTTGTCTTAATCTTATGTGATGATTTCACTTAGTCATAGTAAAATGACAATCGCTCGCCACGATTCAAACTGTCAAATGTGTGCTAATCCATGGTGCATTGTTTGTTAACTTTTCCCTTTGAAACCTTGCTCCTCCTGAACAACTGATCAGTATATATATATTCAACCAAATTCCATTTGTATACTTATGTCCAGAGAACTAAATGTATACAGGAATGGTGTACATGGTGGCTCTTCTGGGGCCAAAGGGCTCAGCAGTGTTAATTGGTGGTTTCAGGCATCAATAGACTATCTCTTCAGAAGAGCTTGATGAATGTAAACCAAATTTGTCAGTTAACATCAGTATGTGTAGTTCAAAAAAGTAAAATTTTGTAAAAAAAATAAATACTTTAACCCCTTGGGGAAAAAAAGTAAAGGGCATGGTCAACAGAGGGCCAAAATTTGGCAATTAAAAGTCACTCCTGAAGGACTGCACAGATTATAGTTATGTAGCATATTCAGTCAGTAACATTTCTGGAGGGTTGTGATCATGTGTTGTATCATTGAAGATCGTGCCAGAAGTTTGACTGTGACAAAATTAACAACTTTTGTATAATTATAGATAATGCACTCTCTGGGGCCAAAGTCTGAAATAGGTGCAAAGGGGAATAGAGATTCACTCAGAGATTTTGACTTTGTCCCTGAACCATAGAGTATGGAAAATGTAGAGATCCCCAACCCATTCCTATACAAATGTATATACATCAATTGGTTGGCATGAAGAGACCAACATATCCGGTAATCCTAATACCAGGATTGCGCTAGAGTCCAGCCTGACCCCTAAAGACTTGTCTTTGAGCCATATTTGACATCGACACAGTTAAGACCCCACACTCATAAACAACTGTTATGCTTCAAGAAATAAATACAATCATACTACTAGAATTTGTCCCAAGACTTGTCTCGCCCTTGAGGACTAAATACATTAGTCATAATTACAAGACAGTTGAGTTTCCCAGCCATAACTTTGTAAACAATAATCAGTATGAAGTAATAAATACAATTATGCTAAATAGGATTTGGCTAAATATAGCTAGGGGATTGATCTTTTCCCCTGGGTTATAACATGAAAACAATTAAATTAAGACTCCTGCCCATTTACCATGTTCAAAATGGCTCGGCATGAAGAAATATATGCTAGCATGAATCAAATGCCACTAGAGTCTTGCCTTCTCCTTGTTAATTGTTCTCAGCTTATATTTCTTGTACAAATATGGTATATGCAACGTTAAAAACAAAGAAATACAGCTAGTAAGCTATGAAAGCCTGTGTGCCTCTTGTTTGGTTTTATTCATTAGAATTCACCTTTTTCCAAACAATCCTTGCCAATTATGTAGTCTTTTAATACCCTCAACTATTGTTACTGAAACTGAACGTTTTTCACAACATTAGTGATAAGGAAATCAAATATTTTTTATGAGAATACTATATATATATAGCTACTAGTCATTTGCTTGATTCAAATTAGCAAAACAACCCAAATAACCATTCAATTTCTAAATACTCTTTGGATATGATTTTGGTCCAGCATATGCATGCTGGGTTTTTTAACTCATTCACCCCTGAAGACACATTTGAACTCTTCCAATTCAAAGGTTGGAATAGTCAATTATGAAATTTCAGGGGTGAATGAGTTAAAGGAAGCACTGCAGCATTAACCATTGTACTATGTCAAATTATGTTTTAGTCATGTTCCTACTCTTGTGTTCCCTAGAAAGTTGTATTTGCTCAGCTGAGGAGTGGTTGGTCTGTCGAAGCTTATTATGACAACTATTAATGTATTTGTGAATTATGTTTGTTGAGAATCATTATATGTACATGTAAGGCACACTGATATTTATTTACTACATCTTAGTTGTTTATTTATGAAAAAATACAGAGATTTAATGTAGAATATTTTGAATATCCTACGTGTAATTTGATCATATTATAGTGCTTTTTTTTCAACAACTGTAAAATATCAATGTGTTCTTAAGGATTATGATGTATGAAGGTTTCAGATCCTTATGGTATATAGCCTTTGATATTTCTGTATTTTATTAAAGTAATTTAAATATCTGTAAACAAATTTTCTATTTATTTTTTTGTCAGTTACTATTTTACATTAGCTGTGCTGTATTGTCCTAATCATACATACATTATCCAACTGGTAAGTTTCTTTAAAGTTATAATTTTTACCTTTATTGGTACATAAATTTGTGTAAGTCAGATTTAATAAGAACATATATAATAGCTCACTGGCTAGTCCTGATCATCATTTTCAGAATTTTGATGAGACCCATTACTAAAATACATGGGTCCTGATAAAAAGTTGATGATTCCCAAAGGAAAACCACACAAGTCTAGAACTTGAAATGTCTTGAGTTGTTCCGAAATTAATTATGTATACAGGATTTCATTGAAAACCATGAAAAAAGTTAGGACTGGGACAATACCTGTGTGTGTCACTAGACCTACAATGCTTAAATGAAATGTTCATTACTTCTCACATATCTGAAGAAATAAAATCATATAACCTTTCAAACTCCGACTACCAGAACTGACACTGGGTAAGAGTTTTTTTACAACAGGGGATGTCATATCTCACCAGATGCTTGAATTAGAAACATGGAATTGATTCTTAGACAAAGATTATGTGTTATAGTACTAAGTACATCAGAAAGATATTGTGATTTGCAGTGTAGCTTTCCAGCCCCATATATAGGAAAAAGATAATCTTGTCAGTAGCTGTTCCTCTCTTTACAAAGATTTTTTTACCAGTTAGTTATATATATATACATGTAGTTGGATACTGGCATCCATATTGGATCCATGTCCTTGGTTTGAGATCTGACATCCGGTTTTCCATTTACTAAAGAACAGCAATCTGTGCCCAGTTTTCTGTACATCTTGAAACTACTTAAGGTTATAATCTGTGCAATAACGTGACATTTATTATAGGTATATTTATGAAGGCAGATCTGCTTGATGCATCTATACATATACAAGTTTTGATCTGGTGACAAATAGTTCTACTTTTCATGTAAAATTGGTGTTAATTTGATTGTTTTGTAAAATATAAAGAGGAAATTTTCAGCAAGAACTTGTTCTGACTTCTTAAAAATCTCGTTTTTGGATAGTCCTACATATACCCACATTTAAATTTTTCATAGTTTTTGCCAGAAGGTTTCCATATAAATAGGTTCAGAATACTTTGGTATTTGGTGTACATGTGTTTTTCAAAGAAATATTTTTAGTTGAGCTGGAAAAAGAAATATAGATGATTTAAATGCGATGAAAAGACCTCTTAATATAATCATATGGTTGATTTAAACAGAAAAAAGTACCTTAACATTTTTAATATAGATATTAGTGAGTTATAAAACAGTTGTGATATTTCTAATTTTGTTGATAATTGTATGATAGGTTAACACTAGATATTGATGAACCTCTAGTATTTTCCTTTCTACTATAAGTAGAACAGAAATGTAACGGTGTAAAATGTTGTGTGCATGAAGTTAAGTAATCTGGAGTAATAAGCATGCTATGTTACAAAGGACACACCTGTCTGACAATCAAATCAATCAAACCATTTAACCCTTTCACCCCTGTGCAACTTTAGAAGACTCTACCCTGCATTGATCTGGATGAGTCCATAATGGTCTACAGTGGTGAAAGGGTTAACCAATATTTAAGAAAATACTAAATCAGGTATGTGTTTGTCAATAAATATGTATAATCACATATACAAAGATTCTAGTGTTGTGCTGTAAAAGGTGGCTTTTAACCTGTTGGTGCTGTGTTTCTGAAGATGCCAGTTGTTTGTGATGGTGTCAGTTTTATATATCCTGTATTCATGTCATTTATACACTGTATACACAGGTAGTATATATATCATTCGGAATTTTGTTTGTTACTTAACTTACACTTATTTAATTTGCACTTATGATAAACTGAAAACAAGATTTTTTGTCACATTTTATATACTTGTATGAATGAAGACACTCTTGGAGTTGGCATGAAATGAAAAGTAATGAAATCTGAATGGCTATATTGATATTGTATATATACTGTATATAGTATCCATTATAAAATCTTAAAAAGACAAATGAATGTTAAATATGTTCAGAATAGGAAGTGTTTTGGATAGAGAGCGGAGTCGGTAACATGGTTATAACAAACTTTAATAATAATAATAATTGAATATTTTAGAAATATTTTTGAGTGATAAGACATGTATAGACAAAATTCATTATAGTCAAGTTAATGAGAGACACCTTTTCCAGGGTACACATACATGTACAGTAGGGTGCTTGAGGTACACACAGTAGGGAGGCTTGAGGTAAACATGTTATACTGTATAAGGTATTTATCTGCATTATGTATACCATGTATACTATGATATCTACGTTTATACTTATTTTTACCCGTTTATAAACTGTGAATTTAATCATAATACTTAAACGATCAATACATACATGCAACTTCTTAATGAATTAATGCTCAAAACCAAAGAATGTTTTTCATTTATTGCATGACTATATATATATATGAGTAGATGTGTAGAAGTGTACCACTATTTTACCCCGTAGTGACAGTGATATCCCAGTCTTTCTCTCCGTCCCGATTAGGGGAATTAGTTATTAGTTGGAATGTTTTATCAGAACAAAATCAATAAAAAGAATGAAGAAATCTTATGTCTTACTCTTATAATCTGACTATGGGACAGTTTGTGGTCAAACTCACTCTTCTCATCTCCATGTGGTACCACGAAAGATCATTATTTAATATTTTCAATTTCGTACCATTCTACTGTAGAACTTCAATACCACACAGCTACCTGTGNTAAGTCATGTCTATATGGAGTAGACTATTCTACTGTATAACTACAACAATTACTGTTACTTTAGCCATATACTTTATATATCTCAGAATTTTATACAAAATAGTTTCTCAGACGTTGCAGCCATTTCATATCCACAGTAGAATAAATCTTGTGCGACACTGAATTCACATCTCTATGATATTCTGTCACACTTCATGTTCGCAAATCATTTATTGCTGGAAATCTGTAGAACTTGACGGTTAAGTGGTGCACAGTTTTGTATCATCTATCGCCAATTCCAAAATGTTTGTTGGTAGCTGAATTGTCAAATAGTACAGCTATCAACAGATCATGTGGTGTTGTATACAGTACTTACCCTTATATTTAAGTTATTTTAAAGCAGAACAAGGTTACTGCGAGCGGTATATAATACGCCCGTCACACATTGAATGAGCAGTTGTTTGTATGATTGAAATATATGAAGTATTTGTGAGTAATTGATATTAAAAGAGAAATCATTCAACATAACTGGTAGATCAATGAGTGCAATACAACATCATGGAACGCATGCATCGCATTAATGAAACCAAGGGGAATAACTCCA